CAACGTCATCTGTGCATATGCTTTGAACTTCTTGACATGAATCTGTAAGTTGCAACTGAAGTATTCTTCTCCTTGTTTCTTACTCTATGTTTATCCTGATTTTCTTCGTGTGGACTGTAAACAGTTTTTGTTGTTGATAAATTACATTGTCCTTGGTGATTTATGGTTCAGGTATGAGCTGATAAAGATAAATCAATTTAGAGGCCTGTCATTAAGCATAGTCCAGCTCTTCTCAAAGCAGGTATTTAGATTTTCTAGATCTGTGTCTTCACCTTTTTGTTTCTTTAAAGTTGTTTTAATTTACTGTATCAACTTTTTTCTTATGGTGTCCCATAGATCTTACTTGGTTTGGCTCTTTTGAAAGATGCTGGCATAATCCATTGTGATCTGAAGCCAGAGAATATTCTTCTGTGTACCAGGTCTACTTTCTAGCTACAATCCTATAACACAACTGGAATCAATAACTTTAATTTAGTTGAATATTTTTTTTCCTAATGCATCAGTGTGAAGCCAACTGAAATTAAGATAATTGACTTTGGATCAGCGTGCATGGAAGATAGGACTGTTTATTCATATATTCAGGTTTTCTTCTTGCTTCCTAATTATCTGACTATTATATTGTATCAAACCAAACAAAAGAATTAAGTTGGCTGATTAATTTTTCTACAGAGTCGTTACTACAGATCGCCGGAAGTTTTACTTGGGTACCAGTATCCTTCTTAATTTAAAGATAATATACAAATTAAAATATTTCCTCATAGTCTTTAGTATTGCAATGTCTCACTGTCCATTGAAATAGGCTTATTGTAGCATTAAGATCATCATAATCTTGCTTAGTATGCTCTTATGATCTACTTAGCCAACTATCTTTAACTTTGTCCTATCGTTCCAGCTAATTGTTACTTTCCTGTCTCGCATTAATTTGACTGCAAACAAAAGCTCATTGCTTTTTTTCTTTCTATTGTACATGATATCTAACAGTATCTTGAGATCGTATGTTGAGCTTAACCACTATATAGATACACTACAGCTATTGACATGTGGTCGTTTGGCTGCATTGTCGCCGAGTTGTTTCTTGGATTGCCACTCTTTCCAGGAGCTTCAGAATTTGATATCTTGAGGCGTATGGTTGAAATACTCGGGTATGTTCCTTTTTGTGAAATTGGTAATGAAGCAAGCAATTTATAATTGTAGAGGCAGGGATTTTTTGGGTTCTGCATTTTTTGATTCAGCTGTTGTACAATAGTGACTTTCCTTGTAGTGTTTATTTTATGGTGGTCGCCTTTTTTGGTCCCTTACATTGCCCTCTGTTCTTAGCAATCCTTGTTTTAGCTTCTCAACGTTTATGCAACTATTCCTCACTTTTATTTAAGCTACAAGTGTCAATATTTCTAGGATCGAGGAAACTTTTTTACTTTGTTTCTTGCCATTTTTCTGTTACGACTGCATCAATTTCATGTCAATTTTTTTTCCAGCAAACAACCACCTGATTATGTGCTCAAGGAAGCAAAAAATACAAATAAGTTCTTTAAATGTGTTGGGAGTATCCACAATTTAGGAAATGGTGGAACTTATGATGGCCTCAAAAGTGCTTATATGGCACTGACTGAAGAAGAGTTTGAAGCTGTAAGTAATTCTTGCTTTACGTCTGAACTAAACAAAAATATTTAGTATTGAAAGCCAGTAAGACAATTGTATCAGTGAACGATTTAGATTTAGATTGTTTCATGAGGGGATTAGTTCTAGTCTTATAAAGTTACTAAGATTTGACTGTGTTGATTTTCCTCTAAATAACTCGTGCTGTTATTACTTTTAATTTTCCAGAGAGAAAAGAAAAAGCCAGAGATTGGAAAAGAGTACTTCCGCCATAAGAACCTTGAAGAAATTGTTAAAGGCTATCCTTACAAGATGAACTTGCCTGAAGACGATGTAGTCAAAGGTAAAGTCAGGATGCTTTGATGTTCTTAAGTTTCCAGGCCCTGGACTATCTTCCATGGTAACAGTTTTTTTCTTTTGTCATGAAATATCACAGAAACTCAAATCCGGTTAGCTCTACTTGATTTTCTGAGAGGACTTGTTGAATTTGATCCAGCGAAACGTTGGTCACCTTTTCAGGTATTGAACTTCCTGGCTAAAGTCATATATTTAGACGTAAAGGCTTCACATTTTCTTGATACCCATAATGGATAAACATCGACTTTTCATTTCTTCAGGCAGCAAAGCACCCTTTTATCACCGGGGAACCCTTTACGTGCCCATACAACCCTCCGCCAGAAACACCTCATGTGGTGAGTCCGATGGAATTTATTCCCAGGTCTCAGTTCCTTGTTGGGATACCAATGCTGTTTATAACAGTGGGTGTGTTGTACTGGATTTGTGTTTGTTTCACAATGATAGTTTTATGTCATCATTTTTCTAAGCCAAATAATCCTGAGATGGATTGAAGATACTCTTTCTTCTATCACATTGTTCCAATTTTAACTTTTTCTGTTCTGGAGATAAATGTTTCAGTTATAAGATCTTGCAGAATGTAATTCTTTCTTGTGGATAGACATTTGTGAAACATTCCTCTATTCACTGAATCTGTTTTTGTTCCCTTTCCATTTCTTTGCAGCATGTTGCTCAAAATATCAAAGTGGACCATCATCCAGGTGGAGGGCATTGGTTTGCCGCTGGCCTCTCTCCTCATGTATGGGCTCCTTTTCCCTTTGAAGTTGTTGTAATTTGTTTGTGCACCTCTTTTTGAAAATTACTTACTTCTTTGACAGGTATCAGGGAGAGGCAGAATGCCATTGCACAATAGTCCCCATTTTCAGATGATACCTTATTCACATGCAAATAGTTATGGGAGCATCGGAAGCTATGGTAGTTACAATGATGGCACTATGCAGGGAAATAGCTACGGGAGCTATGGAGAGACCGGCAATATGTTTGCATATTATTCTCCTGTGAATCATCCTGGCCTATATATGCAAAACAAAGGTGGTGTCTCAATGCTTGGAACTAGTCCTGATGCCAGACGTAGAGTTATGCAATATTCGCATGGTGGTGGTCTCGGTACAAGTCCATCTGCTGGAAATTTTGCACCACTACCCCTTGGTACTAGTCCGTCGCAATTTACTCCACCAAATGCAAACAATCAATTTTTAGCTGGCTCTCCTGGACACCATGGCCCGACATCGCCAGTAAGAAACAGTTGTCATGGGTCTCCTTTAGGTAAGATGGCTGCATTTAGTCAGTTTAACAGACGAAAGGGCGTTGGATATTCTGGAGGTTCTCAGCCGCAGGAGTCTTCCTTGCCACAAGCGCAAGGGCATGGGATGGATAATTTTTATCAAAATGAGGGATATTCTGGGCAATTCTCTGGTTCACCTTCACGCCGGCAATTTGATTCTGGTGTAAACAACCGTAAGCAGACACAAGGAGGGCCTACATTAAGTACTGGGTACTCTCCTCATAATGTTTCTAGCTCATCACTTCGGTCCAATATGTATAACCCTTCCGGTACTGGACCCCATCATGAGAACCCGGATTCTGCCTTATCAGTGCCTGATCCAGGAGATTGGGACCCAAATTACAGGCAAGTAGATTCTCTAACTACAGGTTATAGAGTTTCTAGGTTCTTTGTCTGCATGTGTATGTTGTCTACTTGAGCAATTTTGGCAGGCTTATCTAGAATATGAATGATATTATCCTACTGTATTGTTGGAAGTTTTAATATGCACAATTCTCTCACATGTACAGTGATGATTTGCTTCTCCAAGAAGATAGCGCCGATGAGGGATTTCTTGCTAATGAATTCAGCAGAGGTATGCAACTTGGTTCAACAGATGCCTCCAGTTTTTCCAGAAGGGTCAACAGTAATGCCTCGACCTCATCCTCAAATCCGGCAACTCAAAGGTAACCTAAATGACATCTTGTGGAAACTATGTCATGGAGCTAGATATATTAGGAGATATGTTGTGGAAACTATGTTGAACCCTTCTCTCTTTTGCTGTTGAATCTTCTTCAGGAGATATATTCCCAATCAACCCTTTTCTCAAGCAGATATTGGCAGCCCTCCAAGTAATGATCCTCATGCCAGATTTAGCCAACTTATGCCAGGATCACAATTCACTCCTCACGTCTCCCAAAACTCTCCAAGTCGCTTAGGGCAGCAACCTCCTCACCGGTTTAATCATGGGAGACCGAATGTTGGAAGAGCTATGGACCGGAATCACATCAATGCTCAGCTTCCTCCATCCAACACTAATTCTGGCGGTCAACGCTCACCCCGGAGTAGCTCATATACCAATGGTGTCCCTTGGGGTACTTTCTTTCACTCACCTTAACTTCCTCTAGCACATTCTTCTCGTGTTTTTACAGGTTTTAGACTGGAAATGAAACGGTCTGTTTCATTTTGTAGGAGGACGTAGGACTAACCATCATGTCCCGAATGTTCCATCGACGTCTCATGGAAGGATGGATTACGGAAGTATTGCCTAAACTCCGCGGTCTTTAAACTCTCATTTATTTTGTTCTTTCCCTTAGTGTGCAATCTTCTCTTGTTGGAAGTTTGGGAACAAAGTTGTACTGAGACAAGAACAAAACCTTACTTAGTTCCATGGCTTGTGGGCTTTTGGTGAAAAACTTGCTTATTCATTGTGCTTTTTGCACAAATAAACCAAAAAAGAAGAAGAAAGAAAGTATGTTTTCATTGATATTGTTTTTGTCTTTTGGGCATCGGAATTTCTTTTTGATATTATATTATATCACCTTATATCACATGTCTCGAGAACCTTATTAATCTATCTCCGTTATCTTTTGTAGGTTCTGTAATTTATTAGCCTAAAAAGCATGTTTTAAGGAAACGTCTCAAGCTGATTCTATAAAAAAGTAGTACAACAATGTATTGTCATATTGAAACCGGCTGACATTTAAGGATCTAGCTAGGGCTCGGGTAAAACATATCTAGGTTTCTTGTGATTCTTCTCTACGACTACTCCGAATTTAGGGTTTCGTCATGAAACGTAAACAGCAAGCTCTTCATGAGAAAGACACAAGCTCAAGTATGTCAGATTCGCTCCCAAATGACTAAAGCTGGATATACTGAACAGATTGCCTGCCAAGTCTCTTTCGAATTTCCGATGTGTGTCGAAGATGTGGTCTTCCATAGTCCGGAGCCCAGAATTCGTCCGTTCCTTCTTCTCTCTCTCCTCAAGGCGACCACCGCGGCTTATAGTTGCTTTAGGTAACGGGATAAGCAACAGTAATGAGCAGAAGCTTATCTTCTTGTTCTCGTTTTCACCAGAAGACGAAGGGGAGTCTTCTTCTCTGGTTCCAAATTTCGACATGGCAATACCTTCCGCGACCTTACTTCCATTCACCGTCTTGCACTTCTGTCCATGGCTTTCTCGCTGTTGAAGCTGAAGGTCGGTTAAGTATATGTAACCCTTGCACGGAGCAATTTATCGAGCTCCCCATTTGCACCAATACGTGGGTTACGATCCCATTGGTGATCAATACAAAGCATTATCCTTGCGGATGGCATCGATATGAAAATGGAATACATACTAGGCATCTTGAGCAAAAGGTGTTAACACTTGGAGGAGGTGGAGGATGGAGACTTATTAAACCTCCCACTACTATGCCTAACTATACTCCCTGTCAGGGGAGTAAGCATCAACGGTTTTGTCTATTATGGTGCATGTAGACGTAGTTCAGTATTGTGTGTTTTGATGTTAGATCTGAGAAGCTAAGTTATATCAAAGCACCTTGGCATGTCGTGCGTGTATGGTGATGCTTCAATATTTATCGAATACAAAGGGAACTAGCTTCCATTGTTCCGGATGACACTCGTGGTCGTTTCCAAAGATTTGATATGTGGGTACTAGAGGACGTCCACAAACATGAATGGTCACATCAGATGTGAGATTCCTCTTTCCGTGTGGGATGTTGTTGGTTGTTCCCGATTGTCTTTTCCAGGCGCCAACAAGGCTGGTGAGCTCATCATGGCCCCAACGAGCTGTCTCGCCATGCTCAACCTTTTTACATCTTCTACTACAATGTTGAAACAAAAACATCAGAAGAGTAGGCTCCTTGGAATTGGAGACGATCAAGAGTTTAGGCGCTCTTATGGATTCGTAGACAAGTTGAATGTCATGTCCGTATCTCACCTCAACACATCGAGAGCATTTCAAGTACTTCATCTTGGATAGGATCCTAAATGTAAGATCGTGTCAAAACTTGGTTTTTTTAGATAGCTTCATTTCAAGTACTTAGTTTTTAGTTTTATTTTTAATATTTGAAGTCCTTACTTTTTTATCACCAAAAGATGTGTATTCTGTTATCTTATTCTTATGATTGATTAATTGCATTTGCTTAGATGTTTGTCCATTTCTTGGTGCGGTTTTTTATCTCTGTTTTATCAATATAAGAATACAAGAAAAAAAAGTATGTTTTCATTGATATTGTTGTTGTCTTTTTGGCATCTATCTATCGGAACTTCTTTTTGATATTCTCTGATGTGAATGTATCACATGTCTCTAAATCTCTCTGCAGTATCTTTTGTAGGTTCTGAAATTGGTATCGTCTCTTAATTCCGTCAACACTTAAGCGAACAAAACATCTCTTAACTTATACAAAATATCTCTCGTCATACACACAGAAGAAACGTATCATTGAGCAGTTACAAAGCAGAGTGTTGAAGCTATACTATGAAAAAAACTCTATTTAATTCCAATAACAGACATTAGAAAGAAAAGTCTCTCACTGACTTGTGCAATATCTTGATCCTCCTTCACAAACACCGATGTCGGCAGTTCCACACCTGTAAACATGTAAAGCGCCTTCAATTCTTCCGAACATGACGTGCTCCTCGCAACACTGTAACCGACTATCTTCCTTAATGCCTCCATCTTAGCCCATATCTGCTCCTCACTATACAACACCTTCACCTACATACACCCAAAGACCCCATTACACTCTTCCCTGAAAGGTACTCCTAGTCATTACACTATATACACGAAGGTACAAAATTGTTACTAACCTCATTTGAAGATTTTTCCATGTCCTTCCCTCTAGACACTTCAGTTGTAGTAGACTCGTGTTCCCCTGACAAAAAAAATCATAAGCTAACTATAAGCATCTCACATTTTGAAATTTGCAGTAATCAAATGTATAAACCACCTGCATGTCTAGCTCCAGACACTTTCTTCTTTCCTGCTCCAACCTTCTCTGACTTTGCCTCACCAGGATCTGTCAACTCTTTGCCCTCCTTTTCGTAAGTTTTTTCCGACATTCCTCTACCATGTGACTGATTAGCTCTACTCTCATCTCTTATACTCTCTAACAAGCTCTTTGACTCTTTTCTCATATCCGCAGGGATTTGATACACATCAACCACAATGTTAGCCACTCTCAACGGTGTTCCTCTGTCTTCTTCCTCAGTATGAACAAAAAACGGCTCATTCATCATAGCCACTCTTGCTACACCTTCATCATAAATATGACCACCGTGACCAATCTTGTTAGGGATTAGCATCACTTTATCACTTCTACCACCAAAAGCAGTAGCTGGAAGCAGTTTTCTCATCAGCTTTTCAGTAAAAACATAGCACGCCAAGAAAATCCAAGAAGGAATGGATGCGATCAACGCGATTATGGAGGCAACAACGAGTGGTGGAACAAGGAATGGTGCAGCAGAAACTAAAACACCAGCTGCAAGAACTTTCTTCCCCACACTAACCCCTTTCCTCCAAATCCAACCCATCTTCCTATCCACTGTTGCGCCTTCTTTCATCCGAAACAATGCTTAAATTGGTAACATTCACTGCCATTACAAACAACGCTCAAATTAGTAACATACACTACCATTACAAACAATGCTCAAATTAGTAACATACAGTCATACACTATCCATGCAAAACAGTTAACATCACTCCAATTTTCTTAAGCCTTTTTTTTTCTACATCTAGATATGCATCAAGATTCAACATCCGGATGATTGTTTCTTGCTACATCTTGATACAAAGTTGTTCTTTACTTAATCGAATCTGCTACATTTCAATTGTATCAGCTATCATGAGTCATGATCCTAACTAAATCATTAGACTAAGAGATAAACCAGTGAGGATTGACTAATTATAGATTTTTTTTTTAATAATTATTGAAAGCAAGCCATAAATCTAGGAGCATGCAATTCATTAATATCAAGGAACAAAAGACTCAACCTGATTAGGCGATAACAACGAGGGTAAGCAAAGATGCCATCGCAGATTCAGCTGATAGAAAGAGTTTGCAGCAAAACTTTTCTCTAAAGAAGACAGAAACAGAGAGACACGTGTTGGGATTAGGAAAACAACACAACAGAAGATTGCATGGCAAAATGTGGTTTTATTTCTCTTAACGTGTCAGTTCCTGTAACTATCCACTTGCTCCCCACTTTCTCAAGTCAAAGATCGGTTCTGTAACTTGGAGTAAATGCAAATTGAAGATGATTAGAACAAATCGCTTTCGTCTAAAAGTATTATTAAATAAAAAAAGGTATATATAAAAGGAAAAGTCTCACCGTCGCATCCATCACAAAACCCTAAACCCTGAGTTGAGACCGTCCGTTCTCGGATGAGCTCTTTAATAGCTCGTTTACTTTTGGAACGTCTTATTCTTTAACCAGCGGTTCGGAAGCAACGATTGGCCCTGTGATGTCTTGTTTTTCGTAATTCTGTTTGTGTTATTTTGTTTTTCCTTGTTTTTTTGACAGATAATATTGATATTGTTGCACGCGAAGAAAGAAAATGAAAAGAGAGACGATTTTGTTCCACGGTTGAGTATTTGGTTAATAAGTGTTGTATTTTCTTTTACCTATGCTTTTTTGTTTTCTCTGCTTAGCTAATGTTGTAGCTATCTGTTTGGCCGTGTTTCCATTATTTTTCACAGATGGAGAGTATTTGACAATCATATTCCTCTTCATCAGTCCCATTCTAAAATGGAGAATCTCCCTATAAGAATCTTTCCTCAACCTTAAGTCAAAGTTTGAAGCTGATGGATCACTGTTTATTGCTACACTATTGCCATAAAATAATTAAGAGTGTATTGGTATAAAGTCGTCATTATAATAGTATGGACACGAAATTAGGAAATGAGTTTCTCTGCATATATATGTTGAAAACAAAAACAAAACTCGATTCTAGCTAACTTGTTGCTGAGAAACAAGAACAAGAAGTCCCTGAGGACCAACCAAAATCTCACTAAGGAAACTCACAAGACCGAACCAAACAACTGGAGTCACATCGACACCTGCGAGTGGCGGAATCACTTTCCTCGTCTGAACAAGGATTGGTTCGGTCGGAGCGTAAGCCAAAACGTAAGGAAACTTGTCAACAGGAAGTTTCGGGTACCAAGACATAACGATTCTCACGATGAAGAGAAACCCAAAAGCTGAAAATGCAGGACCTAAGATTCCAATTGCAAGCTTCGCGGTTCCTGGATCCAGATCTGCTACTAGAGAGACGTTATGTAAGAACTCGGACCAAATTGGTTTTTCTGAGACGACAATACTTGAATAGATGCTTCTTGCTGTTGTTGCTATTGTTGTTGTGTCTGCTTCGATTTGGGTTAACGATGCTGAAACCACGGGAAGTGAAGCGGATCGATTTAGAAATGGCCGTCGTGATTTTGCCTGAAAAAACCATTGATGTTAAGAGAAAAAACCATTTCGCCTGCAAGAAAGAGATTGTCTTGCTCAATGTTTTCTCACCGGATGTATCGCCGGAGAGAAAGAGAGGAAGCCGGAGGCGACTGTTGTCATCACAAACTCTGACTCCAAAACAAATTGTGGATTTTGTTTTCTCTCTCACTCTGTTTTTGTGATCGAGCGTGTATGGTTAAGAATACAACAGAAAAATCTCTGGGTTCTCGATGATAATGCTGCTGACGTGGAATATGCGAATGTGCTGACGTGGAATATGAAAATTTAGATTTTAGAGTGCAAGTAAAGAGTCATTTACATTCAAAGGCACTTTTGAGTTATTTTTTACATTTAAAGGCACTTTGTGCTCTAAGGGACTTTGGAGTGTTTTAATGACCAAATAATCTTTTCCTAAAATCTGACTTCTCTTTTATTTTTACCCAACATCCACAGTTTCACCTTTCTAAAATCTGAGTTCTCTTTCCTTTCACCCAACATCCATGTTTCACCGTTGTTCATCACCGCCGTCGTTTCTCCCTCCATCTTTGTTTCTGAATTTTGCCTCTCATTCCATCGTTTGTAACCGTACTGCCGTTTAATTGCAAGACGCCGCCGTTCAATTCAGTTTCATTTTTCTCTGGGTTTCTTTTTTAGAGTGAGGAAAGATGAATAAAGCAGATTTCAGATTCGCTGAAGTTCGGGGTCGATGAATCTGTGTTCATTCACGATCATGTCCACATCTAGATGTCCATGCAGTCGTGTCCACTTGTGATCTAGTTTTCGTAGCTTTCTCTTAAATTGTTTGTTTTGGAGATTATTATATGTGGACAAAGAAACCAAACTCCATACTAATTGTTGGATAAGTAAGCATGGACAAACAAATATTTTGTATCCAGAAACACTATAGATATACAAAGTGCACAAAGAACTCTTCAAAACTGTCTACGAATATGTTTGTATTAAAAGATAACTTGTATAATATATTTGATAAATGGATATCTATCCATGTGGATGCAGTTTCATGAACGACGGTAGCATGAACATATACATTTATTAAAGACTAGGCGATAATTTGATAAACACTCATTTAGTTGTTAATTATCTTTGTGTTCACAAAATTATGTACACGGAAACATGTCCACTCACACATCTCATTCAAACTCCAAAAATTTAATTATCCAAACATCCGATTATCTTGATCATGCAGTTGTGTCCGATATGTTGAGTTTCGGATAGACTGAGAACAAATTCAGAACCAGATTTACATATTGATATGAACATAGGTGTATATATCCACATGGATACGAAGTATGGACACATGCATATGGATACAGTTCTATGGAACAATGTAGGGGAGAAATATTCACCCAGTTGTGGATAATCTTTGTGTTCACAACATCATGTACACGGAAACATGTTCACACACATCTCATTCAAACTCCAAAATTTAATTATCCAAACACCCGATTATCTTGATCATGCAGTCGTGTCCACGTGTATGTTGAGTTTTGGATAGACTGAGAACCAATTTCAGAACCATATTTACACATTGATATGAACATAGGTGTTATATATCCATATGGATACGAAGTATGGACACAAGAATATGGATATGGTTCTACGCAATAGCCTAGGCGATAAACAATAGCTCAACAAACACTCACTCAGTTGTTAATTATCTTTGTGTTCACAAAATCATGTACACGGAAACATGTTCACACACATATTATTTAATTTCCAAAAATTTAATTATCTAAACAAAGATGTTCAGATGGGCGTATGTATACACGACTGCGTGGACATGTAGATGTGGACAAGATCGCGAGTTAACCCAGATTCATCTTCTCCAAACTTCAACGAAACTTCTCCAAACTGAAATTTTTCCAGATCCCATAGCCAACATAATTTTTTCCGACGAAATCTTCCAAATTGATTATCGAAACAGAATTCGACGATGAAATCTCATAGTGTACTTGTTTTCAGTTATGAAGACAAATCTTTTTAGATCCAATAATCGTTCTTGAATTACTCCGGCGAGTTATTCCGGCGAATTCGTCGGCTGCAAATCTCAGATTCACAACCGTTCTTCTGTTATTCCGGCGAATTCATCGGTGTAAAAAACAGAAAGTTACTGCAGTGCACATGGTAAAAGAAAATCTGTAGATGTAATTACAAAAATAAAGTAAGGGCATATCTGAATTTTTGCTATCCAGTTTTTTGTGGAAAGTCCCTAGTTTTATAAGTGCCTTTGAGTGATATTTATAAAGTGCAGATGAAATTATCTCGCAAGTAAAAGTACAAGTATAACCTCGACAAATTAGGCTGAATTCGATAACTTTCTTCTCCTTCTCATAATACACTTTGAAACTCGAAAATGTCTCTCTGTCGCGTGACGCCGGCGATTTAATAATCCGAGTCGCTTGGCGAATTTGATCACTAATGGCTAATGCAGAGGCTAATCGCAAGCCAGTTTCGAAGTATCCAGCCACGAAAGTCTCTTCCTTTAGACGAGAATTTCATTCCCGTTGCAGAGGATACCTTAGATTCAGTTTATTTGTTCGTGCTTCAGTCCTGAAAAACAAGAAGAAGAAACCTAGAGTTTGCTGTGGTAATGAAGAGATTAGTGGTGGAAAAGTAAGTTTTTCTGATCAGAAACCCGCATTGAAACTGCATGAGAAAGAGAAGGAAGTGATTGAATTGAGCGATGAAGGTCATGTGGGAGACTCCGTTTCTAAAGGTTCAAGCTTTAAAGAAGCTCTAGTGGTTGAAGATTTGGTTAAGGAAGAGTCTTCCACTTGGGATGTTCGTAATAGTAAAAATGGGAACAGCTTGAGAGTATCAGCGCTTCGCCGATTTCCCCTTTTGGTGAAAAAGCATGTTGAGGTGAATTATGGACACTTGCTTTTACTCTTCTTGCTTGTTCTTTGAAATACATGCTCTGTTATTGCTTATGGTTGATGCAAAGTATGGCTTTTTTGTACATTCTAGAGATTCAATAGAGTGCTTGATGTGGTTGTTCATTAGCTGCAATCATCACTTGTAGTTCAACTTATAGTTCTTCGAGTTATGAAGGTTGTTCAACATTGATGAGAAGGGTACTCGTGATTGTTTTGTCACTGAAAGGTGTTTTATTGATTTGTTTTGAAGGTTTCTCATGAACCTTTTCTACCGCTGAAGGAGGAGGAAGAAGCTGCAGTCAAAAGTGCATTCTCTGTGAGAAATAGGTATTTTCAGAAGCTCTGTAATGTCATGTGATTGACTGATTTACGAATTTTTAAAAAATTGTATTGCTATATTCTCAGAATGAAGGTCTTGGTTTCTCACGAAAACTCCAACATTGATATTCGTGGAGAGACTTTACAATGCCTCAAACCGTGTGCTTGGCTTAACGACGAGGTAGTTCTTCTGCTATATGTTCTTACATCTGTCTTTTTTGTTTGTTCAAACTCCTTTTGTTGCATTCTCATTCTTGTTTCAATTTTTTTTTGATGTATGTAAAGGTCATCAATCTGTATCTCGAATTGCTGAAAGAGAGAGAAACTAGAGAACCTCAAAAGTACTTCAAGTGTCATTTCTTCAACACCTTTTTTTACATTAAGGTTTGCTTTCTGTTTTACTTCTCATGCTTCCATAAAAGATCTTATGTGCCACATTTGAGAATTTTCTCCGAATTTCAATGTGTTTTTGGCTGAAACTAGCACGGTTCCTTTTACCTCATAGTACTAAGTTGTCTATAAATGTGTTCCATGAATGTTTGTGGCCATTATTAATGTTTATGAATGTTGACAGGCTTATGTTTTTTTCCCCCTCAAATTACATTTATTCAGCTAGCAAGCCGCTCCGGTTACAATTATGAAGCTGTCAGGAGATGGACTACCCAGAGAAAGCTCGGATATAATCTTATTGACTGTGACATTGTAAGATTTTCTCAGAACCTAAATTTTTTGTTTCTTTTCTAAATTTTACAAATATAAATCAATTTTTTTGACAATGAACCTTTGTAGATATTTGTTCCAGTCCACGGTGGTGTACACTGGACCCTGGCAGTGATTAACATTAGGGAACGCAAGTTCCAGTATCTTGATTCACTAAAAGGATTTGATCCTAGAATTCTGAAAGCTCTGGTATAGTTTCTTTGGTCATAAATTTCAAAGCATTTTCATTATGGAGATTACTATGCTATGTTTGTACCGGATGGTTGTAAGTAATGCCAACCGGTATTTGCTTCAGGCTAAGTACTTGGTGGATGAAGTGAAAGACAAGAATGGAAAATATATTGACGTTAGTTCATGGGACATGGAATATGTTAAAGACCTTCCTCGACAACAAAATGGGTACGTAATTCCAGTTTTGCTTTGTTATTAATCAAGTGAGACGAGATTATCTTATTAGCGAACCCGCCTTTGTAGAATCGTCAGAAACTTTCTTTGGCTATGTGAGTTAAAGATAGATCCAGTTGATATGAGTTCTGTCCATTCCACAATAATAAACCAATGTCTCTCATAGTTTGCTACCTAAATTGCTTCTATGATACCATCTTCTTCAGTTGGTAGTATGATTTTCAGTCACAAGCTTGCTTTGTTCCTTGTAATTTGTGATCAAACGCGAGTAAATGCAACCGCTCTGTTATAACACTTTGCTTTACACAGTTAGCTATCTGCTGATACTCTCCTCTGTTGCGATTTCTCAGGTACGACTGTGGGATGTTCATGCTTAAATACATAGATTTTTACGGTAGAGGACTGAAGCTACATTTTAGCCAGGTAACAAAAGATATCAATGTTTGCATTTGCTTCTGAATCCTTATCAATATATTCAGACTATGTGTTAAGACTGTATCAAAACATGTTTATTTGTTCTATGTTTTGCAGAAGGATATGCCATACTTTAGGTTAAGAACAGCCAAAGAGATACTGAGACTGCAAGCCGACTAATATTTACCTGTTCTTGGTGATATCAGCTTGCTAATTTAGAAAGCCAACAATATTGTTTTAGAAAGCCTCTTAGTATGCTAGAGAATCTCGTGTCATGGCTGCTTGGAAATTTTGATTTAGTTTTTTCTTTTTCTTTTTCTCAAATAGAGTTAATTGTTACAGCTTCTTAGAATGAATGAATAATCTTACATACTTTCCTACAATGTTAATTTGAAGCCTCTGAGCAAAGTTTAATTTGATTTGGCTGTGGAGAATGCTAGATATCTAATGGTCATGACTGCTTCTTGGCATTATTAGATCATTGTTTGCGAAGAAGAGAACTAAGATTTTTAGTCATTGACTGCTTATTACAATGAAGATTTTTTACAAAGTCAACAGTGTTATGTAATAAGCAAAATCTAATTTGCTTTGGTTGTGGAGACTCTGTGTGTGTGTGAGAGAGAGAGTCTTGATACTCATGGCTGCTTCTTGGAATGTCTCTGAGCAAAGTTCTTTAGCCTTGAAAACCCGTCTATGAGGAGATCGAGCTCCACCGCAAAGGTGATACGTAGCCAGTTCTCAAGCCCAACAGCTCGACCTTCAGGAACAGGCATCGATTAGTTTAAGTGCCAGTAACTGTCAACGAAGCTCGTTAACAAGGTCTATGATGTTACCTGGTAGAATGATCAGTGATTCCTCTTTAGCCAGCTTGCAGCAGAAGTCCAAATCATCACTGATATCTTCGAGTAGCGAAAGGTTTAACTTCACCTAAACCAACAAACAGATTAGCCCTCTGAGCTTGAGCCAATGAGTTATCTCATTCTTGTTGAATCATTACCATCGTGAACATTGACCCCTCGGGTTTGCAGGGGCAAGTGATGCAAGGGATCTTCATAATCTCCTCATAACAAATCTCTGCACATTCTCTCACCATTTCGAGCTTGGACGAGAAGAATTCTTCTTTCGTGTTCCCAATGATATCAGGAATCGCTCCCTGGCTCAGACCAAAATATCAATAAAACCAGACATGTATGATTCAACACCATTGCATCCCATCAACATTACCTGAATGAAAGTTGCAGCATCTGTCGACATGTTGAGGACGTTGATAAGAGTCTTTGCGAACTAATAGAAAGGAGAGTTTGTATCAACAGCTACATTCTTGGAGAAGAGATTCAACAGAGTAAACCAAAAATGTAACTCAATATGCTAAGCAAACAAACCCCAGAATCTCTCATGATGCAATGAGGGTCAAGAGTCACCATCCAGCCAAGTCTCCAGCCAGGAACAAACCATCTTTTCGATATAGCTCCTAACAAAACCACAGGCACAATCTCTGCAAACTCTGCCATTGACACAAACGGTTTCTCTCCAAATGCATAATGGTCATACACTTCGTCTGAGATCACAAGTATTCCAAGCTTGCAAGCCGTCTCTGCAACCTATCATCCACCATATCAAAATGTCAAAGACAGACATAAACTCTACAGTTAAAAACGAAAAAGTTAAGAAGAAAGTGGACACCTTTTGAAGATGTTGGCGAGAGAAAACGTTTCCACAAGGATTACAAGGATTGACAACAACTATAGCCACGGTCTTGTCATCTGCAAGAGCTTCAACTGCATCTAGATCAACGTCCCAACCGTTTTCCGGTAGGAGGTCGAAATAACGGACCTCAAGCTGACTAAAAGACGCTCGAGAGTCATACATCGGGTAAGAGGGTCTAGGCAGCAAGATGTTGGCACCAGGAGTTGCGAGTGCGGAGATTAAAATCTCAATGGCTTGCAAGCAACCAGCTGTGATATGAACATCATCTGGAGATATCTGGTAAGAGAGGTCACGAGAGAGGTACTCCGCAACAGCCCTATTGAAAGAAACAACAAGTCATCAATCAAATTCAAAATCTTTAGTCAAGTTGATACACATTTGCAACTCATGTAATCACAACATCCCAAAATTTCACTAATTTAACCAATTAAACAACAAAAGGGCAGATTTTTTTTTTCAGAAATCAGTAAAAAGGTTCTAACTTTGAAATCGAAGGGTGATGATTTCACAGAAGGAATCAAACGAAAACAGAGAAGAAGTGATCTAATTTTTGTTATCTTACTTCCTAGCGATAGGAATGCCGGAAGAGGAAGAATAGTTGTTGAACTGGTTGGAGCGGACAGCGTCGCAGATGGCTTCAACGGCGGAAGGATCGGTACTGAATCTCGGGAACGGAGAAGGATCGCCGTGGCCGAGGGGGATGACGGGTCTGGCGTCGCCGGCGTCGAGATGGCTAAGCAAGGTGGTAAGATACTCACGAATGCTGAGAGGGCTTGATCGTTCGACGACCTCGTTTGCGCCGAAATTCCATCGCTTTTTGGCTCCTCCGATGACTTCTTCCATTTTTGGCACAGAGAGACGTGTGAGAGTGAAGTTGGTGATTTCGCGAGAGTGGATTTAAAATGCATTTTCAGCCTTTTATTGCAGAGCTTGTTTTTTATACAACGGCAAAATTTTATCCATTAACGATTTTTCTTTATCGTATATAGATTTCACTGATAACAAAAATGCTACATTATCCACAAATAGACCACCACTACATGACATATACTTTGATCAATTCTTTCTCTTCCCTGCAGGAGATAGTAGTTTGATATTATGGTCAAGATAATAGAAGGCATCAACAACATTGAATCTTTTGATTTATTGACAAAAACTTTTCTTGTAAACTGAACAGCTTAGGAGGAGAAGATTCTATCTAATGAAAGACAAAGAAGTAAGCTCTATTAGCTTATTTTAATTGGATACAGAAGAAGCCATGGCTAAGCTGTACTTATGCTTGAGGTAAGCTTTGATGAAAGGATCCAAATCACCATCCATCACAGATGTGATATCAGAAGTTTCATGGCTTGTCCTGACATCCTTAACCAGTTTGTACGGGTGAAACACGTAGTTCCTGATCTGCTGTCCCCACTCAGCTTTCACCACATCTCCTCTTATCTCCTTGATCTCAGTCGCACGTTGCTCCTCCGCAATCACCAGCAGTTTCGCCTTTAGTCGGCTCAGTCCTCTCGTCTTGTTCGCCGATTGACTTCTCTCCTCTGCACAGCAATATTCAGCATTTAGGGTTGTTGTATTATTGTAGACCAACTTAAAGAGTAGATTTGTGGAGATGGAAAGACAAACCTGAGCAACGGACCGCAACACCAGTAGGTATGTGAGTGATCCGAACAGCAGTTTCAACCTTGTTAACATTCTGTCCTCCTTTACCACCAGCTCTAGTGAAAGTAATCTCAAGGTCCTCCTCTGGTATATCAACACCTACCGCTTCCTCCGGCAGAAGCGGCATCACTTCCACGCCGGAAAAGCTTGTCTACGGATAATAGGACAATAAGGTGCTATTACTATTGATGTCAACACAAAGGTTATGAAGTTTAATGAAAGCATCTTAATATTACCTGGCGAAGGCCTTTGGAATTGAATGGTGATTGTCTTACAATCCTATGAGTTCCTTTCTCTCCTGAAAGATAACCATATGCGTAACGGCCTTCGATTTCAAGGGTCGCTGACTTGATCCCAGCTTCTTCTCCATTTGACATTTCAACGACTTTTGTCTTGTACCTCTGCTTCTCTGCCCATCTCATATACATCCTAAGCAGCATATCGGCCCAATCCTGCACTGGAAGTTATCGCAGGAGACGTCCAATTAACAGCACACAAACACTCTATGATCATTTCTTTGATATGAAGTTAGTCTATACACTCATGAAAGGAGTCTCCAAGAACATGTTTATTTAGACCTCTCAAAAAAGCATTAAGAAGCTGAATTGCGTAAAAACAATAATTTACCTGAGCATCTGTTCCTCCAGCTCCAGCTGTGATGTAGACTAGAGCGCCTTCTTTGTCATATGGTCCTGATAGAAGCTGTGTTAGCTCGAATTTATCTAGAGATTTGTTCAACTCTTTGATGATTCCCATGGCTTCTTCGAGTAGGCTAACATCAGTAGAGTCCATCTCTTCTGTTAGTTTCACAATCGTTTCCGCATCTTCAACCTGCACCAAGCAGAAGCAACACATCATCACTCAAGCAGTATACAGAATTCAGCAATTCAACATGTCACAATAAAGATTTGCAATTTCAACATCACATATAAACCAAGAGACCATATATATAAGGAAAAAAGAGATGACACTGAGGAGCATACCATAGTTTTGAACTCAGAAAGCAAGCGCAATCGATCTTTGAGATCATTCAAAGCGGAGAGCGTTTCTTGAGCTTTAGCACGATCATCCCAAAAAGAAGTATCGGTAGCTTTTGATTCCAAACTCTCAATTTCTTGTTCTAGTTGCTGCAAACCAGCGGAAGCTCTAATCTCTTCAACACGAGCTGATGCTAATTCAACGTCTTTCCTCAATGTATAAAAATCTATCCTTGAGGAAAAGCAAAACCCAAGTAAGCAGTGGCAGAGCAATTTGAAATTTTACAACTTCGATTGCACAAATTTTTTGATAAGTTAATGGGAATTGAGAGTACCTTGCATCACCCACTCACTCGTATCACTTTCATCCGAGACACTTATGTTACTCTCTTGTGCAGCGGATGATACTGAAAGAAATAAAAGGGGAAGGAAAATTGTTAACCCAAAGATGAAGACTTTAAATTTTGAAATCTTAAATTGAAGTTGTAGCGAGAAAGAGAAGAACTGACTTGGCGAAATGAGGCGATACGTCGAAGAAGAAAGAGTGAAACTGGGAAGAGAAATCGGCAGTGAGAGACGGAGAAGAGGGAGATTTTTCGGGCGATGAAGCAAAAGCGTGGGTTTTCCGGCGACGGCGAGAGGTCGGAGAACACTGACCTCCATGGACATTGCTTTCTGCTAAAAGCTTTTGCTCCAAAATTTTCTGGTCTTTTTGCATTTTCGGCGGAGTTTTCTTATTATTATCCACACCAAGCTAACTGCCACGTCATCAGTTTAAAACATAAATATAACGCAATTATTTTTGCTAAACTTTTGAAAAAGCAGAATGGACAAATGGAGAGGTGATTTTGCTCACATTTGATTAGCTCCAGAGGCATTTCAACAAACTATAATACACTTTTTTATACGAAACACAATTTCATCTTTATAATGTAACATATTAAAAACTCGTACGAGCATAATCGAGCTTACAAACAGACTAAAAGTAAATCAACATGAAATTTGAAATGTTTGTATAACGGGGAAATGCAAAGATATTCTTTACAGTTTTCCTCCATACATTGTGAAGTGACTGGTCGGATCATCTTGTTCAGATCAGGACCGGAGGGTTTAGAACGGCATAAGCAAGCAAGTATTGGTCACGAAGGAACACGGTCATCTCTTGCTCAGAAGCTTATCCATGCTTCTATTCCTCGACGATCTTTTAGATCAATGAGCCCAACATACGCTGCCTATCTGTCAGGTGTATCTGAAATTGTATCTGTTGTACAATGAACACAACATTGTTAAAACAATGATGATACTTAGAGATTTGCTGTCGAAGAGAGATTTATTAAAAACTGAAAGCAGAAACTGCCGAAAGCACAGTAATCGTTTAGAAATAAAAAGTTGTGAAATGGTTTTTGATAAGTAAAAATGTCCAATAACCACCATGTTATTATCTCTAGACAAAGAAAGGCAAACAGTTTTTTAGATTAAAATGTCGACCTGCTCGCTACTAAAACATCTCTATGGCTACGCATCACTGGAAGTGTCGAAGTTGTCAATTTTCAGAGGAGTGATGTCATCTGCAATGTTGAACCCTCCTATGACTCGTGCAAAGAACACCATCTGTTGCTCCAATGTGTATTTGATGTTCTCCGCCTGTTACACCAAATTATCAGTTTTTACTATTATGATCTTTAGAGACTTGTTGTGTGATTAATGCAAGTGAATCAAAAGCCCTTTACCTTGCGAAAACCGTGCTGTTCTCCTTCGTACTCGACAAGTGCTACAGGCAAACCTTTTAACTTCAATGCTTGATATATTTTACGGGATTGATCCGGAGTTACAACCTGCAACGTATTCAGCATTAGTACAGATAATGCATATTCAGAGGCGTAAGAAGTTCGGAACAAGAGTGGAAAATCTAAGAACCTTGTCTTCTAATCCTTGGAAGAGGATGATGGGGCAAGAAAACTTATCGACGAAGTTGATTGGTGATCTCTCATAGAAATCCTTCTCATCTCCTGCAATTATGGGTTGAAGAATTTTGGTAGCTGATTCAAAAAAAATGAAGCAAAGATAAATGATCTCACTGAGGATATTGACTCACCAACAAGATTGTCGATATAGCGGGATTCGAACTTATGACCTTCGTCTTTCAACATTTTTAAGTCAGCCACCTGCATAAAGACAAGCCAAACTAATATGAACTATCGGTTGTCAATACGATAGAGTTTGATTTTAAAGTGTCCAATCTTGTCAGTCCATAAATAGTCGAAAACGAGGAGGCTAAAATCTGAAGACATAGAATCTGTAAAAGTGTGGTATAAAGTGAACTTTGATTCAGAAAATAAGCCTCATACCAACATTCTTATCCCATCATTGGGATACGTCAAGTTTTTCATTATTTGCACTGAAAATTTTTATATGATCAAAGACTTTTTGTTACCTCTTGATTTCAATATGTTTAATATATTCAAATTCTTTTTGCTGATAGTTCTATACGTTCTAGAGTTTTCAAGAGCTGATTCCTATAACTAACAAAAGCAAACGTAATTTAACTAATTGTTTCGTAAAATGTTATGGTTCTGTTACTCACCCCGTATAAGGACGCTCCGGCCTTGAATACATCTCTGAATGCCAATGATGCAAGAGTTGTGTAGCCTCCTGCGGAACCTCCAGATATACAGAGCCGCTTAACATCTGCCTTTCCAGAAGACACCTGCCAAAGCCAAAACAATGTTTTGGAATAGCTTCGAGATTTTTTTCACATAAAATAGGCGGAAAGAAAGAAAAAAGAACATACCAAATGTTTAGCACAGCCACAACAGTCATCAACGTCGACAATCCCCCACTGCCGTAACAACCGCTCTCGATACTCTCGACCATAACCTTCATGACAATGTTACAGTTTGTCACTATAAACCCACGTTTGTCTGGCGATATGGTGAGAATGGGACATCGAAAACAGGATCTCTTGAGGCAGAATACTTTAACAAGACTAGCTAAAAATGGGGTAGAGTAAGAGATAACTTGTAACCATAACAACAAACCTGTGCTTCCACCATAGTTGACATCAACATATGCCCATCCTCGACTTGTCCAGTACTGGATATTTAGATTTAAGGATCCACGTGATTCAGCAGTTGGTCCTCCTGCATATTCAGATTGTCGATAAATATCTATGTGGCATATATAGCTGATTGCACTATTTATGTCGTGGATAAAGTGCATACTTGAAACGAAAAAATTAACATGATCTTGAGATGAACAGGTTTGAAACCGAGGAAACATTTTGGTTAACTTAAAGAAGTGATTTAAGCATACCATGACTCTTCACTAGCAACGGAGGTTTCTCTTCCATGCTAGCATTGTATAGCGGATTGGTTGGAGGATAATAGTAAGCATAAGCGTTCTGACCAGGAACCTCTGTTGGGAATTCAATCAACTCTGGCACGCTGAAGAAAGCCTCGTACTTCAAAACATCAGGTGAAGAAGACCAAACAATCTCAGAACTGAGTGCTTTCATCTTCTGCTGATCTAGTGTTACCTGTAAACAGAAGAAACTATTAATCTACTGCTATCATCAGACGCAACTTATCCGCAATTTAAATATAAAATGTACATCATTTTCACCTTGGCAACTGATGGTGGAAGAACTGCTGATGCTCCCTCAACATAAAGGCATTGATTTCCCAATGTCTAAAATAGAAGCACAAATTTTCATTTTCATTTCGGATTCAACTGGAAATCAAATGCATATATTTCAGAAAAGAAGAACAAAAAAGCTATATTACAATGTTGTTCGGTTAAAGGAATATACCCTGCGAATCATCCAAAATGCCAAGATATGACTTCCCTTTCTGCCTGCATTTAGATACAATAAATTGTCATCCAAACAGAAACACAGTTTCCGGCGCAAATATAAAAGGAATATTAAAGAATGGTTGAAAGTATTTGAATTATATATCTGCTCAGTATTACCTATAGCTACAAGCAATTATGTTCTTCTCTTCAGAGCACTCGATTATCTCATAGCAGTTTGTGCCGAAAACCCATAGTGGTTTTGCAAACTCACCATCGAGAGGATATACAGAAACAACCTCATTGGTATTTTCAATCTGTGACACGAAGAGAAAGAGGAAAGACATACATAAGGAGCAAGGTAGTAAACATGTCTGCATTAGCAATTTCTTTGTGCACCAAGTAAATTTACTTCACGAGAAGTTTCAGGCACCAAATATATGATTCTTCAACCAAACCTTCTATCTACCCAAAAATTCTAACAATTTAGCAATAACTATCACAAACAAAACAAACATTAGATTCACTACTTGGGATCTATTTAGTAGGCTGAAAACCCAAGTCTTTCATATATATATTAGCCTTTCCTTCAAATTCCTCAAAGGGTTCTTTTTCTAGTTCCTAACGTATGAGAGCACAGTCTCCTTCGAGAACAAAGATTCTTATTCTAGACTCTAGAGTCCTGCTAGTTAATTTTGTGAAAGGCCAATGACAACAATTCTCCACACTTTTATTAGAAACTGAAGAACTACCTCCATTTCAAATCTAAAATAAGTTCTCAGAATTACACACCCAAACGCAGATTAGAAAATGTAACTATACTTGACAAATGTAAGTGTTTTACCCATTTATGAATGTTCCAAAATCCGTTCTTTCTGTCGGTTACAAAAAAGAGCTCCCCTGCATAATAAAGTCAGAGCAAAGATGATTATAAAAAGTTGGAAAAAACAAGAGAGAAAAAAAAATTCCTTTTAAGTAGAAGACCTAGTTTCTAAAACTGGCAAAAACTTCAAATAAAAGCTCAATTGCTAAAAGCGAGAGAGAGACAGAAACTCAGGAATCTAAGGTCCATGCCTAGAAATGACAGATCAACCTTTTTCCCAGAGCCTTTCACAATCCTTTTAACTGAGTAGAGTAATTTTCTGCATATATGTCATCTCAGATAAATACCTCTTGATGACCACTTTGGCTCAGTGGGTGATTCGACATATTTGGGATCAGAACCAGCAACACATACACGCTTATCAATTTTTCTGCAGAAGGGTATAACTCTGATCAATACAATGCAACTGGGAAGTGATAAGAAACTATAAAGCATGGAAATCAGCGTTCAAGTCAAGATCCCCAACAAGACACTCAGATACTCAGTACTATAAAGAATTATAAAAACAAGTAGCACATGCTCACCCGCTCTCGGAAATGTAGCCAACCCAAAGCTCTGCTTTATCCCAAGGCATATTAGGGTGACTCCATTCAATCCATGCCAGTCGCTCACCCTTAGGATCCAAGCGTGGAAACGCATAGAAATCATTGCCACTCACGACTACTTTCGGTTCTGGATCACAAATATCAGAAAGAACACATGTGAACCTCAATGATCAGACATAAATCACATCCCCTGAGGACTCATTCAATACACACACGTAATAAAACTTCAGTCACTAACGTTTGATAAAGAATCTACCTTCAAGCGTCTCTCCACTCAAACTGACCTCCACTATCGCTGTAATTGGGTTTGATCTGTCTTGGCGACCATCTGTAAAACTTAAGCCAGTGAGTTCATATGTAAAATCATCAGAAACCACCCAAAACTTAGCAGTAGAGAGTCCAAACCAACCTTCCCTAACAGTAATGTAACGGTTAAAGCGTGCATCAAAGACTCCATCAGCATAAGTAACAGCTGGTGCACCATAATCTGGAGTAATTGGCCTCGGAGATGAATCTGAATGTTAAACCATTTCCAGTAGAACATCATCAAGAACTTGCATTCACATAAAGTATCATATAATAGAATCATTGAAAAGGTTTTTTTATCTCTCACCTTTATCAGTGATGTGTTGCTTGTAAAGTCGCTGATCCTTGTAATTGGAGAAGAAAACAGTGTCGTCTGATGAAATCCGGAAAGCACCACCACCGTATTCTTGAGTTAAAGTCCTCACAGCGAACTCTTTTGGTGTGATATCGATTGGTTCATCTCCCGGTTTTTCTCCTTCCATTACCAAAACTCCTCTCCTACAAAATCATTGATAAACGAAACCCAAGCTCGAATCAAATTTCAGTTTTCACTTAAATCTACTTTCGATATCTGAAATCAAGTAGAATCAAAGTACCCGGATTCATTGGGGCGAGATTCGAGCCAGACTAAACGGCCGCGAGAATCGACGGCGGTCCCTCCAAGACGCTTTGAAGCTCCGGAAACGATGTCGGCGGTGATCGGAGACTTCCAGGAGCCATAAGGAGCGGTGGTGGTTTTCTCTTGGTGAGGAGAATCAGCACCGTGTGGGGTTGAAGACGACATGATTGCGAAGGATCGAGATGGTTTGAGGGAAAAGAGATTGAATCTTCTGATTGAAGAAGAGGATATCGATGGAGAAAGGAAGAGACGGTGAGCGTAAGAGGAGAAGAAGGAAGAAGAAGAAGGAAAACGAGTGAGCGAGACAAAGTGATTGAGTGAGGTGAAGACTGCCATTTATGTTACTCATCGTCGACTCTTTTTTTCTCATTTGCTTCTTCTTTTATGTTTTGCTTGCTGATCGGTCCGGTTCGCGGCTTGTTTAGCCCGGATACCAATCGAATCGAATCGAATCTGACCAAAAATAAATGGAACCGGAAGACCAATACAAATACTAAATGGGCATAAATTTTTATATCCAAAAAAACTGAAACCAAACCGAAAACTAAATGAATAATACCCCAAATATCTAAAATATAATTATAGACCTGAAATATTAGTTATATTTAGATTTAAAATAATAAAATTACTAAAATTACAATTATAATCTAATATAATAATTCTATTTAGAATAAAATGACTAAAATATTCGAGAAATTAAAAAAAATGAAGTTTTTCAGTTATTTTGCAGATTTTTGGATTATAATTAGGTATTAGGTTCAAAAATATCGAGGAATCGGAATTTGCACAAACTCGAATGGATCTATAAATTTATCTCATAATCGACCCAAATTCAATAAGAATCAAACCAAAATTTTCCTAAACCCAAAGAGTCCAAATCCGATAAGAACCAAACCAAAATTTTCTTAAACCTAAAGAGCCCAAATCCCAAGTAGAAACGACCCAAAACGCGAAAGAGGCCTACCTTAAGCAAACAGCCAAGATTCAAGATATAAAAATCTAAGTCTGGAATAGTTATCATCTTTCAGCATAAAATCAGTGTTTAAAATTTTGACCAAATAAATAATTATCATAAAGTAATATAGAATTATTGTGTCAATGGAAACCTCAAAGTCCTAGGCAATTTTAATGAAGACTTAAACCGAATCCAACCTGAAATAAATAGAACCGAACTAGAAAACCGATACAAATACCCAATGAATTTAATTATTTATATCAAAAAAACCAAAATCGAACCAAGAACTAGATGAATACCCAAAACATCCAAAATATAATTATATATCTAAAATATTAGTTATATTTAGATTTAAAATAACTGAAATTGCAATTATAATCTAATACAATAGTTATATTTAGAATATAATAACCAAAATATTTGAAAAATCAAAAAAATTGGACTTTTTCAGTTATTTTGCAGTTTTTCGGATTATAATCAAGTATTAGATTCAAAAACATGTAAGAACGGAAATTTCCACTCGAATGAGTTTTAAAATTTATCTCAGAACCGACTTGAATCCGATAAGAACTAAACCAAAATTAAACCAAAAAAATTCTAAATTCAAAAAGTCCAAACCCGAATAGAACCGACCCGAAACCCGAAAGAACCTGCATATTAAGCAAAGGGACAAGATTTAAGATCTAGGTCTCCCCCACCCCCTCTCTCAATCGACATCTATCTTCGACATCGACGCCATGAAACGCAAACGCGAGGCGAAGCAGGACAGGTCTGGGAGCAGCGGAAGTAAGTTAGATCCGATCCCTGTGGATGCAAAGCTGCCTGGGAAGTTTGTGATAAAGCCCCACCAAAAGAAGAAACGCCAACGCAGGGATCTGTTATGCAATCAGACAGGCACAAGCTCAAGCTCAAGTAAGTTAGATTCGCTCCCAGATGAGCTAAAGCTGGATATACTGAACAGATTGCCTGCCAAGTCTCTTGCGAATTTCCGATGCGTGTCGAAGATGTGGTCTTCCATAATCCGGAGCCCAGAATTCGTCCGTTCCTTCTTCTCTCTCTCCTCAAGGCGACCGCGCCTTATGGTTGCTTTGGGTAACGGGATATACAACCGCAGCACTGAGGAGCGGCTTATCTTCTTCTTCTCGTTTTCACCAGAAGACGAAGAGGAGTCTTCTTCTTTGGTACCAAATTTCGACATGGCAATATCTTCCGTGACTTTTACTTCCGATTCGTCTTGCACTTCTGTCCATGGCTTTCTCGCTGTTAAGGCTGGAGGTCTGTTAAGTATATGTAACCCTTGCACGGAGCAATTTATCGAGTTCCCCAGTTGCACCACACACGTGGGTTACGATCCCATTGGTGATCAATACAAAGCATTATTCAAGCGGATGGTATATGAATTTCGAAATGGAATACTTAGTCATCTTCCTGAGCTAAAGGTGTTAACACTTGGAGAAGGTGGAGGATGGAGACTTATTAAACCTCCAACTACTATGCCTAACTTTAAGACCCTGTCAGTGGGAGTAAGCATCGACGGTTTTGTCTATTATGGTGCATATAGCCCAGCCCGACCTACGAATCCAGGTATTGTGTGTTTTGATGTTAGATCTGAGAAGCTAAGTTATATCAAAGCACCTCCGGCTGTCGTGCGTTATGGTGATGATTCAATATTTATCGAATACAAAGGGAAGCTAGCTTCCATTGTTCCGGCAGACCCTTATGGTCGTTTCGAAAGATTTGATATGTGGGTACTAGAGGACGTCCACAAACATGAATGGTCACATCATATGTGTGTGATTCCTCTTTCCATGTGGGATTTTGTTGGTGGTTTCCGATTGTCTTTTCCAGGCGCCAACAAGGCTGGTGAGCTCATCATGGCCCCAACGATGCTGTCACGCCATGTTCAACCTTTTTACATCTTCTACTACAATGTTAAAACAAGAAACATCAGAAGAGTCAGGCTCCTTGGAATTGGAGACAATCAAGAGTTTAGGCGCTCTTATGGATTCGTAGAACAGTCTGAATGTCATGTCCGTATCTCACCTCAACACATCGAGAGCATTGCCTTCTTCAAGAATCCTACTACGTAACTTCATTTCACTCAAGGATCCTATATGTAATGAGATCGTGTCAAAAACTTGGTTTCTATTTTCATTCTTTTCTTTTCTGTAACTTCATTTCAAAGGTACCTTTGTTTTTCAATTTTATTTTCAATAATTGAATTGCTGATCTTTTATCAACAAAACATGTGTATTATGTTATCTTATGAATGATTATTTGCATTTGCATTTTCTTAGATGTTTGTCCATTTTTTGGTGCGGTTTATTTTTCCCTCTGTTTTATCAATATAAGTGAGTCGGTAAAATATTCGATCACAGGACCTTTTGAGCGGCTGCTTAGATACGACCATGAAGAGGACAGATTCCTCCGGTTCAAGGATCGGTAGAGTTTATGGAAATAGGAAGATTCGAAGAGCTGATTCCACTTGCTACACACTGATTTGAATCTCGAAATAGACCTGATTGGTAGTTTCGCCAGAATCATCCCCATGGTCCATGACCGGCTCTGGAAACTCATCTTTAAGTTCCATTATGTAATTTTTTGCAATTGTGTAGGTCTCTCTTAGGGAAAAAAATTAGGTTTAGGAAGAAGAAAGGAGAAGCACATGCGAGGTCAAGACTCTATGTTTGCAGTTTACAATTTATTTCCTAAAGTCTTTCTCAATTTAAAAGAACACTAGTGTTTCCACCCGTGCATACGCACGGGGCACTCTAATTTGTTTATAATTTTTCAAAATAAATTAAGTAAATTGTAATTTATGAATTTATTTCCCAAAAGAAAAATGTGTGTTTCGAAAAAAAGGCAAATTATGTAAACTAAAAATCTGTATTTATTTTGCATTAGTAATAAAAGCCTAGATAAGGCCTAATATTTTCATTATTGTATTTATCCGAGTTAACTCACAGCTCAAATGAATCTGAGCTTGTTCTTAGCTTGATTTTATCCATTATCTTCCCCTTTCAAACTCAGTCTTTCAATTTTTCCTCAATCCTAGATTATAATTCTAACGGTTGCTGCAGCGGCAGTTCAAGTTTTGCTTTTGTTTGATTACACCATTTAACATTTATATGAGCTTGGTACTTGAGTTGAGAGTAGATGATAATTGTAAGGTAAAATCACAAACCTATTATCAACAGGAGTTCCACCTTTTCTACATAACGTCCATCATCTCCTCTTATAAACCCAGAAACCTTTTTTGTTGACATGCTTGTATCACTGGAGGAGTCTTTAGGATTTTTTTTTTTTTTTTTTTTTTTTTTTGCATCTTCCTTTTTCACGCAAAGTGAATTTGAATTTGAATTATAACTTTAAATTTATATAAATAAGATAAAATTCAATATTTAAAGTGCAAATGGTAAATGGTATATTTGAAAACATTAAAACATACATTCTAAACAGTTAGGAAGATCATAAGCATCGTTCACAAAATACAATTGACCCCTATCGAAAGAGATAACATAAGGAGAGGAAAGACATTTCAGGATCACGTTTTTTTCTTTGATCGTTCCCTTTTTCGTAGTATGTTTGGGTTTCCTTTGTTATCGCCTGAGTCTTTGTGGATGATTTTTTCAGCTCCTTCTTCTTCAATAATCACTGCACGTTCTCTATTTTGTTGTTGGGGTAACAGGGAACTAAGAGGCGGATCAATATTATTTTCTTCTGAAGAAGGATTCTCAATCTGCTACACAGCAATAGAAAGTAAGTTAATCAGTAGAGGTAAAAATATAACATAAGTAAATGGAATTAGAATACCTGAAATACTGAAGATGTGCTTGAAACTATAGGCATATGTGAATGAGCCGATTCCTAAAATCTGTAAACATAAATAGGTTAGATGGCCTTGTTTCAAATAATGGTTATAAAATATGAAAGATTAAGAGATACATCAAGTTGACAGGTTCTTCAAATTTGTGAACAACTTTATCCACGTTGCTGAGTTTCACAACTTTAAAACTTGAGTTTCTGAAAAAAAAAATCAAGTACCAGAAACACGAATCATCCAAAAACTACACCACCATAACCACCAGATAGTATTCTATCTAAGCAAATCATTCCTTCTAAACTAATGAGATTTAGAGGGAACTACACATGATTAAATTACACCACCATAACTACCAAATAGTGTTCTTTAAATGAGTATACCAAACAGTGTAAAAGTAATAGCCCGAAAAATAATAATACACGAAAACTGACATTCACTTGTTGTTCAAGCAATTTGTAGGCAAATTTTTGAATAAGTTGTATAACTTCTCTATCAAATAGTAAGAAAGTTGTTGTTATTGTGTGATCTGCTACTTTTACATGTAGACAATACCTGATGAATAAAAACACAGATGAAAGAAATAGATTATTTTATCAGTTTAATATAGGGGATTAAAAAGATCAATAAATAAATAATGATCACTAAACAACAGTTGTTGTAATACAAAAAATAATAACCTTAACTTGTTGAGGTTTCTTCTTTGTTGCAAGCGTCTGCATGAATTTTCCACGTTCTCTGTTCTTCTCTCTCTGGATTTAAATATGGTGTACCTTTCAAGAAGCAAACATTACAGCCAACATAGTACCAATAAATTTCCTTATGAAATGATAAAATTGATGCAAATGCAACGCTAGTACTTTCCTACTTATAAGCCACATAAAATAAGAATAGAAAATTAGTAAAGTTAACTATTTCCATTATTTACCTCGCTTGATGATGTAATCTGTTCAATAGTTTTGCAGCTGTGTAAAGGGAACGTGTCTATCACGCTTTTCCTGGAACTTGGATGCATCAATGGAGAAACTGTGAATGAGACCGTTGCATCACTTTTGGGCATCCTGCAGCCATAAAAAATGGGTAAATTAAGTTTAAATTATGACATTTGACATGAAAACATTATCTAAATATGATTTGAATCATAAAAGAGTATGATTCACAGGAGTATACTCCAGTGACATGATTAACCTAAGATATGTTGAATATAGTTGAGAGAAAGTGTAAATTCCGCAAAAACGATAAACTTTACTAAAATGAGTGAAATTTGATGAAAAAATTACCCGATGTTAACTTGACCTTTCCGGTGTTCTTCGAAAAAGAGATATAGACTTTAGCGGCGGCGATTTGATATGAGATTTAGATGATGAATCTGAGAAAATGAAATAGGAATCGAGAAATTTGATGTGAACTTCAAAAATTAAGCTTTAGAATGAAGATAACCAAGAAAAGAGAGAAAATAAAGGGGATGGGGACAAAATAAAGAAGCAGAATCGAAGAAGACGACATAAAACTGGAGATGAAGGACATTTATGTCGGAGCATGATTCACGGTTGAGATTCTGCTTAAGATTGTGAAAGAGTGGTCAGTTATGTATCGGTAAATTAGGGATTTTGTTCTATCATGAGAGCTAAATCGGAATCGTGTGCAAACAAACGTGTTCTCATTATTTTTCTACACAGATCGTGATAGTGGTGCGTTAAGAACCGAAAAATTAGGGATTTTTTTGTGATGAGGAAGTTTTCCAGATCGTGTTCAAAGACACGAAAGTCGAAAGTGTTGTTTGTTGTTTCAACATTTGGGCTGATTTAGTGGGCTTTCTTATTTATTATTGTATATGGCCCATTATTAATTTCCTTTTGTTTGATATTTGTAACTCGATGTCTTTTAAATTTATACACGTAACTAATTTAAGTTGTTTAGCGTTTTTTTTTTCCCTTAAACTTGCCACATGTCACTCTGCCATTGGGCGAGTGACTTGTGCTTTAGTATATTAGGGATTAACAGAAAAATAAAACAGCTAAAAGATTTACATCACATATACCAAACAAAACCACTAAAAATATTCAAGGAGTTAGACTACTCCAACATTAGTGTTCATATCATACGATCATGAATGTTGGGCGAGCATTGTTCAGCTTTGGCGGAACAAGCAAACATAAATTTGGGTGACCAAACATTATACTACAAGTTGAGCCACAAACCAAATGTTAGCAGCTTGGTGTTCAAATAATGGCTGAAACCTCACTCAAGGCTCTAATACGACTTAGTTAAACTTAGTGCTATCGTATTCCAAGTTTACAAAACACATTTTGTTTATACAAGCCCATAAAGCCTATGATCACAAGTCAAATTTTCCATCCACTTAGGATTCGACAGGCTGACACAAATGCAGATTGCAGCTACCTTTGGCCTTTCTTGCATTGAATGTTTGAGTAGATTGGTGAAAGAAGAAAGACAAACCTGAGCAACGGACCACAACACAAGCAACGGAGCGAACAGCAGTTTCAACCTTGTTAACATTCTGTCCTCCTTTACCACCTGCTCTCGTGAAAGTAATCTCAAGGTCCTCCTCCGGTATATCAACCCCTACCGCTTCCTCAGGCAGAATTGGCATCACTTCCACGCCGGAAAAGCTTGTCTACGTGCAATATATAAGTGTATTAGCACACAACCACATAGTTCATAAACCGAGCAAAGACAGAAGTACAATAAGATGTCAACACAAAGGTTATGAAATCTAATGAAGCATTGCATGACAAAGCTTTTCGTTCGAAGTTTTCAGTATAGAGGCAGCTTAATATTACCTGGCGAAGGCCTTTGGTATTGAATGGTGATTGTCGAACAATCCTATGAGTTCCTTTCTCTTCGATTTCAAGGGTCGCTGACTTGATCCCTGCTTCTTCTCCATTAAACATTTCAACAACTTTTGTCTTGTACCTCTGCTTCTCTCCCCATCTCATATACATCCTAAGCAGCATATCGGCCCAATCCTGCACTGGAAGTTATCGCAGCAGACGTCCAATTAACATCACAAAAACACATATGAGCACACAAACACTCTATGATCATTTCATTGATATGAAGTCAGTCTATACTCATGAAAGGAGTCTCCAAGAACATGTATAAATCTGAATTCAAATGAGACCTCTCAAAAGCATTAAAAAGACGAATTGCGTGAAAACAGTAATCTACCTGAGCATCTGTTCCTCCAGCTCCAGCTGTAATGTAGACTACGGCGCTTCTTAGTCATAAGGTCCTGATAGAAGCTGTGTTAGCTCAAATTTATCTAGAGATTTGTTCAACTCTTTGATGATTCCCATGGCTGTAGAGTCCATCTCTTCTGTTAGTTTAACAATCGTTTCCGCATCTTCGACCTGCTTCAAGCAGCAGCAACACATTATAATGGTCACAAGAAGAAAAAAGTATCACTCAAGCTACAGATAAAATTGAAGTGGCATGCATCAAACCAAGGAAATGTTAACATGTATAGAGACAAGCAAGAATTCAGAAATTCAACATTTCATAACAAACCTAACTGTGTAATATGTATGAGACAGCGAAAGATTTGCAATTTCAACATCACTCACACATAAACCAAGAGACCAAATATAAGGAAAATGCAATAGAAAGGAGATGACACTGAGTGAAGTATGAGGAACATACCATGGTTTTGAACTCAGAAAGCGACCGCAATCGATCTTTGAGATCATTCAAAGCCGAAAGCGTTTCTTGAGCTTAGCACGATCATCCCAAAAAGAAGTATCAGTAGCTTTTGATTCCAAATTCTCAATTTCTTGTTCTAGTTGATTCAAACTAGCGGAAGCTCTAATCTCGTCAACACGAGCTGATGCTAATTCAACATCTTTCCTCAATATATAAAAATCTATCATTGAGGAAAGCAAAACCCAAGTAAGCAGTAGCAGACCAATTTCAAATTTTACAACTTTGATTGAACACAATTTCAAATATCAAAGCTCAAATTACTTGGAATTGGAATTGAGAGTACCTTGCATCACCCACTCACTCGTATCACTTTCATCCGAGACACTTATGTTACTCTCTTGTGCAGCGGATGATTCTGAAAATAAATAGAAGAAAACTGTTAATCCGATTGCGAATTCCCAAAGATGAAGGCCTACACTTTTGAACTCTGAACTTGAAATTGTAGCGAGAAAGAGAAGAACTGACTTGGCGAAATGAGACGATAGGTTGAAGAAGAAAGAGAGAAATTGGAAGTGAGAGACGGAGAAGAGGGGCACTGATTATCCGGCGTGGGTTTACCGGCGAGCGAGAGGTCGGAGAACACTGATTCGATGTATTGATTATTGTTACAACGTCACTTTATATAATCCCAGTATATTATATAATGGTTTAGTGTAACCGAAATCAAATTTTATGGTTTACTTTAATATCCCTCTTCAAGATGGCAAGTAAATGGACTTAAGAGCCATCTTGGATAATAAAGCATTAAACTGAGTAGAGAATAAAGGTTTCGTGAAGATATCCGCAAGCTGCTGACCAGTACGAACGTGAATGGTATTGATAAAGCCAACTGAAATACGATCACAAACTTGATGACAATCGCCTTCAGTATATTTAGTCCGTTCGTGAAAAAACGGGTTACTAGCAATATGAATTGCAGCCGTTGAATCACAAAACAGAGGTACAGGTCTTGATTGATGAGCAAGAAACTTTGCAGCCATAGTGCGTAACCACACAACTTCCCAAGAGGCAAACTCCATGGCTCTATACTCACACTCAGCTGATGAATTTGAAACTACTTGTTGTTTCTTGGACTTCCAAGAGATGGGGGGGGGGTACCAAGAAACATACAATAGCCACAGGTCGTGTGTCTGGGCACAATAACCAGTCTGCATCTGTGAAACCACTGAGCAAAAGGTTCAAATCAACAGAGTAGAAGAGATCAAGACCAACAGTGTCTTTCAGGTAACGAAAAACTCTGTAAGCTGCATTCAGGTGAGAGAGCTTTGGTGTGGATGCAAATTCGCACAACTTGTTAACATCAAAAGTGATGTCACGACGGGTGATAGTCAAGTACATCATTTTACCAACTAACTTGCGATAGAGACTGATCTCATCAAGGATCGGCTCTGCAGAATCTTGTACCAACTTGACACTAGGATCCATTGGAATACTAGAAGACTTACAATCTGTAAAACCAGCTTCCTCCAGGAGCTCCAAAGTGTACATCCGTTGACACACTGAGATGCCTTTAGCAGAACGAGCAATCTCAAGGCCAAGGAAGTAGCGAAGAGGACCCAAATCTCTCAAACGAAAAGCAGCTTCTAAATTTGCTTTGAGTTGATCCACTGCAGGATCCGAGTTGCTAGGGATGATAATGTCATCGACATAAACCAACACAGCAAGGTAAACACCACCTTCATTCTTCACAAACGGAGTGTGGTCCGCATGCGACTTCTTAAATCTCAATCCCAAAAGAACAGAACTGAACTTGATAAACCAATGACGAGAAGTCTGCTTCAAACCATATAAAGACTTCTTTAGTCGACAAACGGCATTAGGAGGAAGGGATTCACCATTTTTAGTTGTATAGCCAGGCGGTAAAGTCATATAGATCTCCTCATCGAGATCACCATTGAGAAACGCATTGGAGATGTCAAGTTGAGTCAGGCTCCAACCTTTAGCTGCTGCCACGGTAAGAAGTGTCTTCACAGTAGTCATTTTGGCCACAGGAGAATAGGTATCCACAAAATCAACTCCTTCACGTTGTGTGTACCCTTTAGCGATCAGACGAGCTTTGTTTCGTTCAAGACTCCCTTCAGCATTAAGTTTGGTTTTATAAACCCAATGACAACCAATAGCGTGTTTATCATGAGGTTGAGAGCAAATCTCCTAGGTACCAGTCTTCTCCAAAGCAAAGAGTTCTTCATTCATCGCAGTAAGCCATTCCGCAAATTTCTTGGCTTGACTAAAAGAAGTCGGTTCTGCGTGAAGATTCACTGAACAAATGTATGCTTTATAATCTTTAGATAACTCGGCATAAAACACATAATTTACAAAAGGATATGGAATCTCAGCCTTCTCCATGTTGCAGTAATATTCGTCAAGATAAGCCGGTGGTTTAGAAGAGCGCTTCTCCTTATCTCTTTCAACACGATGTATTGATTCCTCCGTAGAACTAGCTACTGCAGTTGGAACATTCTGAACCACAGGGATGACTGCAGGAATGTTACCAGCTGTAGCAGAAGAACTAGGAGATGTAGAAGAATCAGGCATATGAGAAAAAACATCAGGAAGAGGCTCATTCTGATCAGAGGTGAAAAGGATGTTTGTCTCATGGAACACAACATGGCGTGAGATGTGGACCTTGTTGGTTTCCATATCCAATAATTTGTACCTCTTATAACCAGCGGGATAGCCAAGGAAGACACAGGGACAAGCACGGGGTTGAAACTTGTTTATGCCTTTGGAAGACGTCGAGCAGAAATTAAGACAGCCAAAAACGCGGAGACCTTTGTAATCTGGCATCTTCCCAGTCAAGAGAGCAAACAGAGTCTTGTTCTGAAGCAGAGGCGTTGGCAAACGATTGATGAGAAAAACCGCTGTTAAGACGCAATCACCCTAGTGTTCCAGAGGGACTTTAGCTTGAAACATGAGGGAACGAGCAACGTTCAAGATGTGTTGGTGTTTTCGTTCTACCATAGATTTCTGTTCCGGAGTTTCAGGGCACGAGTGGTAAGCAGTGATGCCTTTGGCTCTGAATTAATCAACAAACTTCAATTCTGGAGCATTACCAGAACGAACACCCCTCACTTTACAGTTGTACTGATTCTCAATCATCTTCAAGAAATCAGGAATGACACGCACCTCATCTTTCGTTCTCAACAGATAAACCCATGTGACACGAGTGTGATCATCGACAATAGTGAGAAAATGCTTATAACCTTCAACTGTGGGAACAGAGAATGGACCCTAAAGATCAATGTGAAGAAGATCAAAAGCATTAGCACATATTGTTTCTTGAATCAAAAGTGAGAAGTTTTTGTATAGCCAATGGACAAATAGCACAAGGCAAACGATTTTTATTTCTATTTCAGATTCCAAGTACACCAGTGACCAAATCAGTCTTGAAGTCAGAGGGATGACCAAGTCTATTATGCCACAACTCAGAATCAACAACATTATAAATAAATGATGAATGTTGAAAAGATGTCTTCAAACCAAAAGCAACATCCACGACATAGAGGTTTGCAATTTCTTCACCCTGACCAATCATCAATCCTTTGATAGGATCCTGTATCACACAAGAAGAACTGTCAAAAGAAATCCCAAATCCCAAATCTTTAGTCAACTGTCACGCTCACAAGATTCAGCCAAAAATCAGGATTGCATAAAACATTTTTTAAAACTAGGGATTCAGATAGTTTGAGACTGCCAATTCCTGCGATTTGAACTCCTGAACCAGTTGGTAAAGTGACAGAGGAATGTATATCTTCAGAGAGCATCTCAAACAAATTCTTATCATGACATACGTGATGAGTTGCTCCACTATCAATAATCCAGGAATCAAAACTCAAAACATTTCCAGTAGCTCTCAAGGCTCCCACAAAATGTAACGTAGAAGAAGAGAATGCCATACCAGGAAATGTAGTAATCAGTCCACCAGAAGTAAACTTTTCCTCTGATAATTGGTTGATTGAAGGTTGAAGTTGAACATTGAAGTAATCAATAACCCCATGAATCTGATCTTTAGACAACTGAGTCAATCTCTCTTTAGCATTGTTGTGATCAGAAGGCACTGCAACCTGAGCAACAACAGGACATGAAGACTGCGGAGGCTTAGGAATGTAGGGCTGTTTTTCAGAGCTAGTTTTCGAGTTTTTTTGTTTGAAATTCGGTGGATAGCCATGAATTTTGTAACACATGTCGACTGTGTGGCCAGTGTAACCACAATGACTGCAAATGCGAGCTGGCTTCTGAGATTGATATGAAGCTGCATTGGTGGAAGCAGAAGTAGGATCAGGAACGGTGACTTGAAAGGCTGTAGCATTCTGAACAGGAAGAATGGCTTGCTGGCTGTGATCTTCTATTGTAGATCTCAGACAATGTAGGCATGTTCTTCTTCATCATGATTTGACTCCGAACCACAACATAAGAATCATTCAAACCAGCCAAAAACTTTATCACCTTAGCATGATCAGACTTCTTCGCCATTGATTTGCAACAATCACAAGTATGACAGGTTTTCTCACAGCTAGTGCCATCCAGTTCATTCCATAGTGTCTTCAACTTAGTATAATAGGTCGAAAGATCCATAGAACCTTGATTCAATGACCAAATTTGTTGAGACAGTTGGTAGGATCGCGGTAAGCTGGTGATGTGAAAATGAGTCGAAAGATCTTTCCAGATCTCAGAAGCATCACTGAATCGCAAAATGCTTTTGTAAATTTCCTTAGAAACCGAATTTAGAATCCATGACTTCACCATTGAATTACACCGAGACCATATCCTGAAAATTTGTTCCGATTCACTAGGCCTAACAATGGATCCATCGATAAAAGCGAGCTTATTCTTAGCATCAAGAGCGATATTCATTGCAATACGCCAATTATCATAATTGGAGCCATCAAGTACCTCGGAGATGATCGAATGACCAGGATTATCACCGCTCGTGAGATAGTATGGTGAATGAACGCTGTTCGGCGAGATTGTGAAAGTCAACGGAGAATCCGGTTCCGGAGAAGAATCGCGAGCTTTGCGAGTCGCGGATTTTCGAGCAGATGAGGTCGTCCTGTTGGTGCGACGCGTTACTTTGCGACCGATCACCATTATAACGCCAAATCGAGCTCAGATCTAAGATGGATCTATGAAATTTGTGAATTCCGACTAAATGATCGGAAAACTTTCATAGAACACAGAAACGATAGGATCGGGAGAATAACCGATCGAATCAAGGTTAAAGAAAGTGGAAGAGAAAGGAAACAGAAGATCTAATCGTGCTTTGATGGTCGATGCTCTGATACCATAATAGAAGAGATGAATCGAGAGAGAAGACGATGAAAATGGATAAAATATTTCTTATTGTATTGATTATTGTTACAACAGTCACATTATATAATCCCGGTACATTCGCCTATTTTACATAACCAAATGGTTCAGTGTAACCGAAATCTAATTTTATGGTTTACTAGGACCTTTTAAGTTTTCATAGTTTCGTCCAAAGGCCCATTTTCGTACATATGCAAAGGAAATGGGCTTCGGCCTTTGCCGATTATAAACAAAACGATAAATCCCATTTTCTTCTTTAACTCTCTTTCTCTCTCATCTGAGAAAACCACCGGGAAACGTCGTCTCACCGAGAAAGAAACATGGAGAATAACGAGGTATATATTTGGTATCCGAGAACTTAGCTTAGCTTGTTTTCTAGATTTCGTTATAAATTTATCATTTATGGTTTCCCGAGAACTTAGCTTGTTGTTTTCTAGATCTAGATTTTATCTATATCCGATTTCATATATTTTATTTTATAGTTTTCTTATCCAATTAATGATGATCATCAGGAGGATAATGATGATAACGATAACGCCGATCTTCTTCCACCACTTCTTGTTGATCATCAGGTAAGTGGTTTATTTTGTTCTACTTTTGGTACGTGTGAGGTTTATTGTGCCGATCTTCTTCCATCACTTATCCTTTTGGTAACAATGGTGCAGATTCCATATATCTGTGTTAGATTTAATCCGGATGATGCTGAAGTACAGTTTCTCCGTCCAATGACTATGGACCGGGACAGTCTTAATGGTCGGTCATTTCTCCCTGTTATGACTACAGAGAATCTTGCTACACGCCTGACGAATATGGAACCGGCTGAGTGTCAATATTTTCGTCCAGGGGAGGAATGTTTTTTTCTCACAAGATTGCACTGAACTTTTATATATGATCAAAGGCTTTTTGGTATCTCTTGATTTTAATAAGTTCAATATATTTAAATTATCTTCGCTGATATATTTCTATATGTTAAAGAGTTTTCAACAACTTATTCCTAAAAAAATAACAAAAGCAAATGTAATTTGACTAAACGATTCCTAATATGTAATGGTTCTGTTACTCACCCCGTATAAGGACGCTCCGGCCTTGAATACATCTCTGAATGCCAATGATGCAAGAGTTGTGTAGCCTCCTGCGGAACCTCCAGATATACAGAGCCGCTTAACATCTGCCTTTCCAGAAGACACCTGCCAAAGCCAAAACAATGTTTTGGAATAGCTTCGAGATTTTTTTCACATAAAATAGGCGGAAAGAAAGAAAAAAGAACATACCAAATGTTTAGCACAGCCACAACAGTCATCAACGTCGACAATCCCCCACTGCCGTAACAACCGCTCTCGATACTCTCGACCATAACCTTCATGACAATGTTACAGTTTGTCACTATAAACCCACGTTTGTCTGGCGATATGGTGAGAATGGGACATCGAAAACAGGATCTCTTGAGGCAGAATACTTTAACAAGACTAGCTAAAAATGGGGTAGAGTAAGAGATAACTTGTAACCATAACAACAAACCTGTGCTTCCACCATAGTTGACATCAACATATGCCCATCCTCGACTTGTCCAGTACTGGATATTTAGATTTAAGGATCCACGTGATTCAGCAGTTGGTCCTCCTGCATATTCAGATTGTCGATAAATATTCTATGTGGCATATATAGCTGATTGCACTATTTATGTCGTGGATAAAGTGCATACTTGAAACGAAAAAATTAACATGATCTTGAGATGAACAAGTTTGAAACTGAGGAAGCTATTTTTGTTAGCTCAAGAAAACTGATACAGAAGTGATTTAAGCATACCGTGACTCTTCACTAGCAACGAAGGTTTCTCTTCCATGCTAGCATTGTATAGCGGATTGGTTGGAGGATAATAGTAAGCATAAGCGTTCTGACCAGGAACCTCTGTTGGGAACTCAATCAACTCTGGCACGCTGAAGAAAGCCTCGTACTTCAAAACATCAGGTGAAGAAGACCAAACAATCTCAGAACTGAGTGCTTTCATCTTCTGCTGATCCAGTGTTACCTGTAAACAGAAGAAACTATAAATCTATTGCTATCATCAGACACAACTTATCTCCAATTCAAATATAAAATGTGCATCATTTTCACCTTGGCAACTGATGGTGGAAGAACTGCTTATGCTCTCTCAACATAAAGGCATTGATTTCCCATTGTCTAAAATAGAAGCACAAATTTTCATTTTCATTTCGGATTCAACTGGAAATCAAATGCATATATTTCAGAAAAGAAGAACAAAAAAGCTATATTACAATGTTGTCATAGTCGGTTAAAGGAATATCGAGCACAGAACAAGAACCCTGCGAATCATCCAAAATGCCAAGATATGACCTCCCTTTCTGCCTGCATTTAGATACAATAGATAGTCATCCAAACAGAACACACAATTTCCAGCGCAAATATAAATGAAACATTAAAGAATGGTTGAAAGTATTTGAATTATATATCTGCTCAGTGTAACCTATAGCTACATGCAATTATGTTCTTCTCTTCAGAGCACTCGATTATCTCATAGCAGTTTGTGCCGAAACCCCATAGTGGTTTTGCAAACTCACCATCGAGAGGATATACAGAAACAACCTCATTGGTATTTTCAATCTGTGACACGAAGAGAAAGAGGAAAGACGTACATAAGGAGCAAGGTAGTAAACATGTCCGCATTATCAATTTCTTTGTGCATTATCAATTTATTATCTAATTCTTCACCAAACATTCTCTCTACCCAAAAATTCTAACAACTTCGCAATAACTATCACAAACAAAAAAAAAACATTAGATCCACCACTTGGGATCTATATAGTAGGCTGAAAACCTAAGTCTTTCAAATTCCTCATATGGTTTTTTCTCTAGTTCCTAAAGTATGAGAGCACAATATCCTTCGAGAACAAAGATTCTTATTATAGGGTCAAGGACAACAATCAAGTTCCTACCTGAAGAACTACCTCCATTTCAAATCTCAAATAAGTTCTCAGTATTACACAGCCAAAGGCAGATCAGAAAACTAAATGTAACTATAATTGACAAATGTAAGGGTTTTACCCATTTATGAATGTTCCAAAATCCGTTCTTTCTGTCAGTTACAAAAAAGAGCTCCCCTGCATAATAAAGTTAGAGTGTCAGAATACCGAAGAAGATTGACAACCATATGAGAAATCTAACAAGGTAATTGTAAAGAGTTGGAAAAAACAAGAGAGAAAAATAAATTCCTTTTATGAAGAACGGCAACTTCAAATAAAAGCTCAATTGCTAAAAGCGAGAAAGAGATAGAAACTCAGGAATCTAAGGTCCACGCCTAGAAATGACAGATCAACCTTTTCCCAGAGCCTATCACAATCCTTTTAACTGAGTAGAGTAATTTTCTGCATAAATGTCATCTCAGAAAAAAATACCTCTAGATGACCACTTTGGCTCAGTGGGTGATTCGACATATTTGGGATCAGAACCAGCAACACATACACGCTTATCAATTTTTCTGCAGAAGGGTATAACTCTGATCAATACAATGGAACTGGGAAGTGATAAGAAACTATAAAGCATGGAAATCAGCGTTCAAGATCCCCGAATGAGACTCTCAGATCTCAGTACTAAGAATAATGAAACTAATCGAGATAGCAATGCATCTGAAAGAAGAAAAAAAACTAGCACATGCTCACCCGCTTTCGGAAATGAAGCATATTAGGGTGACTCCATTCAATCCATGCCAGTCGCTCACCCTTGGGATCCAAGCGTGGAAATGCATAGAAGTAATTGCCACTCACGAGTACTTTAGGTTCTGAATCACAAATACCAGAAAGAACACATGTGAATCGTCAATGATCAACTATATTAACCAATAAAAAGTTCTAAACAAACACTACATGACACCGCTGAACATAAATCACATCCCCTGTAGACGCATTCAATACACGTAATAGTACTTCACTCACTAAAGTTTGATAAAGAACCTACCTTCAAGTGTCTCTCCACTTAAACTGACCTCCACTATCGCTGTAATTGGGTTTGATCTGTCCTGGCGACCATCTCTAAAACTCATGCCAATCAGTTAATGTGTAAATCGCCATCAAAACACAATTAAACATCAGAAAGCATTCCATATTTAGCAGTATAGAGTCCAAACCAACCTTCCCTAACAGTAATGTAACGATTCAATCGTGCATCAAAGACTCCATCTGCATAAGTTACAGCTGGTGCACCATAATCTGGAGTAATCGGCATCGGCGATGAATCTGAAATGTTTAAACATTCCAGTAGAACATCATCAAGAACTTGCATTCACATAAAGTATCATATAATAGAATCATTGAAAAGGTTTTTTTATCTCTCACCTTTGTCAGTGATGTGCTGCTTGTAAAGTCGCTGATCCTTGTAATTGGAGAAAACAAGTGCGTCGTCGTCTGATGAAATCCGGAAAGCACCACCACCGTATTCTTGAGTTAAAGTCCTCACAGCGAACTCTTTTGGTGTGATATCGATTGGTTCATCTCCAGGTTTTTCTCCTTCCATCACCAAAACACCTCTCCTACAAATCGACGAAACCAAGCTCGCATCAATTTCAGTTTTCACTTAAATCTACTTTCGATATCTGAAATCAAGTAGAATCAATCAAAAGGAAGTGTACCCGGATTCATTGGGGCGAGACTCGAGCCAGACTAAACGGCCGCGAGAATCGACGGTGGTGCCGCCAAGACGCTTTGAAGCTCCGGAAACGATGTCGGCGGTGATCGGAGACTTCCAGGAGCCGTAAGGAGCGGTGGTGGTTTTCTCTTGATGAGGAGAATCAGCACCGTGTGGGGTAGAAGACGACATGATTGCGAAGGATCGAGATGGTTTGAGGGAAAAGAGATTGAATCTTCTGATTGAAGAAGAGGATATCGATGGAGAAAGGAAGAGACGGTGAGCGTAAGAGGAGAAGAAGGAAGAAGAAGAAGAAGAAGGGAAACGAGTGAGAGAGACAAAGTGATTGAGTGAGGTCAAGACTGCCATTTATTTTACTTCATCGTCGACTTTTTTTTTCTCATTTGCTTCTTCTTTTATGTTTTGCAGCTTTTGCTTACTGATCGGTCGGTTTAGCCCGGATACCAATCCGGTAGCCAATAACCGAACTAACATACTTTGGTTTAGTTCGGTTGAATAATTTTGAAATAAACTGAAATTAAATTACAATTCAATGTTATTCAATCAAGATTTCAAATCCGGTTTTAAAATCTAGTGTTATTCGATATATGATTTGTAATCTACTCTCTCCGTTTTTTAAAGATAAATTTTCTAGTTTTTTCACACAGATTAAGAAAAAGTTGATTTTCAATCATTAGTGCATAGATTTCTGCAATAAAACAACTTTTTATAATTTTAAACCAATAAAAATCCAACAAATATAATCATTGTATCTTGAAAACTGAAAAAGTGTATCAAAAAGGTAAAAAAATTATCTTTGTGAAACAACACATAATGGCTAGAAAATTCATTAAAAAAAAACGGAGGGAGTATCATTAATAGAGTTTTAAATTCAGTGTTATTCAATCCAGATTTCAAATCCGGTGTTATTCAAAATTAAATGAATTTTAAAATCTTTGTTAACTAAGTCATTTGAAATGAATTTTAATGAATTTAATAAGTAAATTATTAAAAACATAATCGATGAGATTGTAAAGATTTTAGAATAAACTGAAATAGATTCTTAAAATAAGAAAAAAGAAAATCTAAATGATTGTAAAATCTATAGAATTTATTTCAAATACATAATTGAATAACACTCCCTTAATTTTTTTTTCTTTTTTTACAGTTTAAAGTTTACTAGTTTATTTCACTAGATTTGTTATTCATAAATTTATTATTTATTGTTTCGAGAACTTAGCATTGTTTTCTAGATCTAGTTTTCTTATCCTATTCTTGGTATATCTGATATCATAGATTTATGATTTATTATTTCCAGGAACTTAGCTTGTTTTGTAGATCTAGTTTTGTTATCCTATTCTTGTTATAACTTATCATATTCTTGGTATAACGATGATCAAGAGGATAACGATGATCAGAAAGTGTTCTATTACTTCTGCATTATCGGGATTGAATCTCACAGAATCTGCACAAGAAAAATCAATCAAATTCTTAGGTAAAAGCAATTATACCAAAAAGTAGAAAAATAATAAACAACATACCTCAAAGACATCAAGTGGTTTGTCGTTATTCTGATCATTATGATTTTCCACCACTAATATGTTAAGGTATGTTGTTTATTTTTTTCTACTTTTGGTATAATTATAATTGCTTTTACGTAAGAATTTGATTGATTTTTCTTGATCTTTATTGTGCAGATTCCATATATATTTGTGAGGTTCAATCTGGATGATGCAAAAATAATGAAACACTTTGTCCGTCCAATGAATAACAAATCTGAAACAGTAAGATCATTTCGCCTCAAGAAATATAAAGTTGTACAATGTTAATATTTTCATGTTTTAATTTCACGAGAAAGTGGTATCACTTTCCAGAAAATGCGTCCCTGGTCGAAAGTATTGACAATTTTATTTTATTTTTATGTTGTTTTAACTTTTAAGTATTGCTACTTCTGATTTTGATTGGAAATTAGACCTAACTCGTCGAAGGTTTTTTTCTCCTGATAAACAACGTTTTGTGCACTGATAGCGTATATCTCCTTGTATTGTTATGATGATTGGGAAATTTCTGATGATTGACTATATTGTATCTATCTGTTTCACATACTCAGTCCTCGAAAAATGATGATATCTCTGGGGTTTTTGAGATTACTAGTCTGCCTTTTGTTGAACAGTTGCAATGGGACGTAAGAGATGTTAGTTAAGCTTACAGGTGCATATATGATAAGATTGATGTAGGAGTTTGATAAAAACGGAAACTGTATAGTCCTGCTCTTATTTTGATTTTTTTTCACTTGATCTTTCGTTTTTGTATACTTCACTTACTTTGTGACATTTTGTTATGTCCGTTTGGACTATAATATTCACCTCTGTTACTGTCTGTCTTATCCAAAGCTAGAGCCATTTTGTTAATATCTTACTAAAAACTCCTGTTTCGTTTTCATTGCAGAAGCTGGAGATAGAGGAATCTGAAGAATAAACGGAATGATCCGAAGTCAAGAGGTATCTCCCTATGTATGCTTCCATGAATCTTTACGAATGTTTTTTCTTAATGTTGTTTCGAGTAAACTGAATTTGGGTCTGCATTGGTTTTAACTTTTAAGTTACAATGAAATGCTGTATATCACATGTGAATCGAACAATAACATGTGAGCGACTAAAAGTTGAGACAAGAACCGAACTAAAATCATACTGTGGTTTAGTTCGGTTTGAATACTCTTGGGTTTTGATTTTTACAGTTTAAAACGAATAAAGCATAATTATGTTTGATTTGATTTTGAATTTTGTTCAGATATCTGTTTTTTTGTATAGTTGTGAAAGATTGTATATAAACACAGGTTTAAAAACAAAAATACGCATAAAGTATCATATGCGTGTAGAGAATCATAAAATTGCAAAACATACTCTTAACATGTCGCACACATCTTTTATTCGTAACTTCAAGAAAACAAACTTAGGAGATAATATTGTGTAGAAATGGACGAGCTTTGCAAACGGCTTTTAGCGGAATCGCTTTAGGTACTGTGTTTCCAGTTCCTTCCTTCATATCCACTTCTTCTTTACCAACTCTCTCCCACTCAAAACATTGTATCAACGACCCGAGAGCAAGCCCCAAGATCCGCTGAGCCAAACCCGATCCAGGACAAGATCTTCTCCCTAATCCAAACGCCATAAGCTTTTGTGCTTCCTCTTCTTTCTCAAACCGCTCCGGTTTAAAGCTATCCGGATCATCCCACGTGTTTGGATCTCTGTGTATGGCCCATGCATTCACCAACAACGTTGTGCCACGTGGCATGTCATAAGATCCTATCTTGCAATTCTCTGATGCCATGTGCGGGACTAGCAATGGTGTTGCCGGTGTAGCCGGAGGGCCTCTAGAACGATGTTCTTTAGATATGGTAGCTCGCTGAGATCTGATTCTTCTATAAACCGGTCTAAACCAATCCGGTTATCGATTTCAGTTCTTGCTTTTCGTATAATGTCTGGATGGTTAAGTAAATTAGCAAGTGCCCATTCTAGAGTCACAGCTGATGTGTTAGTCCCTGCTACTACCATTATCTACAATAACCATCAAAATAGTTTTAGTTTATTAACAATATCAAACAATTTAACAAAATGTATCAGAATTAATAAATAGAAAAATAAACGATAGGAAGAAAGAAATATACCAGTATGATGCCTTTGATGATTTGATCTGTGTAATACTCAGTATCCGATTTTTTTAGAAGAAGCAAATGATCGATCATTGTATTGCCGGTTTCTTGCTGTTCACGTTTATCGTCTATAAGACTTTGTAAGAACTTATCTGTCTTCTTCCCTAACTCTTTAACCCTCTTCTCATAACTTGAGAACAGTCTCAAGATCGGAACATAGTCAACGGCGTTTCCTGAGCTCGTGTTGGCTCCAACATCAGCCACTAACTTACGGACACGTTTTGCTTCTTCCTCGTCCGTTGTTTCTTCGCCGTAGTATCGTTTTCCTGTCATCATTCTCATTATGTTGTTGAAGGTTAAGTCCATGAGCATTGGTTTAATTTCCACAACGGTTTTTTCAGTTCCTGCAATAAATAAAAAGAAAAATCGAATTTCGGTTGAAAGAGAACAAAAAATAGAGCATGGACAGTCATTTTCTTCATGTAAGATGACAAATATTATTGATATTACTATGTAATAGGTTCTAACAATATAGTATAATTTTCACTTTACATAACCATTTTCATTCTTCAATTGAATGGACAATATTCAGTCTAAGGTTTTCGTTTTTCTATGGGGCAAAAACAATTGGAAATGTTTAGATTAATTAACAAAAAACACAATTTTCTAATGAAACGTTGGACCGGACTTGGATTCATATCACTCACATGTGCCCTTATTTTATCCATTTATATTTTATTTATTTTTCGTGGTCAATATAACATTAAGATAACGCTAGCATAAATGAAGTTGTTGACTATATCAACAAAATTTCTTATAATAAAAACACATTTAGCATATATATACCTGCGAGACGGAAAAGGCGGCTTATGAGGCGGCGTACTTCATCGGTACGGACAGAAAGAAAGCAGTTAAGCCGTTGGGTGGAGAAGATTTCGATGGTGCAAAGGCGACGGAGGTTGCGCCAGTGATCCCCATAAGGTGCGGCGATCATGTTTGTATTGCCATACCCGACGTGTTTTCCAATGATCACCTGAGGCCGGTTAGCTAAAACTATGTCGTTCTTACCGAAGCACTCCTCAGCCGCGATCTTGTGTGACGACACCACGTAGACTAGGCGGGATCCAAGCCGGAGGGACATCACGCCGGTGTCGAGAGACTCGGAGAGGGAGCGGAGGGTGCGGTGGATGGGCGGCTTCAAGAGGCGAAGGTGGCCTATCACCGGCAACCATCCCGGTGGAGACGGCGGAAGATTCCGCTTGTTTGGTTTCAAGAACTTGAGAGAGAGAATCAAGAAGATGAGAGAGAAAATTGAGTAGAGAACAGCTTCGATGTAACTTTGTACCATTGTCTGCTTCTCTTTTTTGGTTAATTGTCTTTAGTACAAGTTGTTATATGAAGTGTTAAAAAGGCATAAAGTGGTTATAAGATTTGAATTTTAGCACGTTGGGAATTAGAATTTAATAATGATAACGGTAAGTAAGGTTGATGGCTGTGATCTCATTTGATAAGAGTTGAGAAATGCTTTAAGCTTTGTGAAATGATGGATGGGATGAGACCAAGTAAAGATGTATGCGTTTGGAAAATTATACTACTAGAAATATAATATAATAATACGATAACGTTTTCGAAGACTATATAAGATGTAGACAATATGCAAGTTTTTGTAGACAAAATTAAATCTCAACGTGGGACAAAGAGAAGAATCGCAAACTTGTTTGGTTTGAGATTATTTCGTAATATTTGAACATATCGAACTGTCTTCTTGTACTACACTGGAGATTTCTTTTAAGAGTGAGTTCACTAATATGTAAAACCACAAATCGAACATCGAACATCGCATTTAATATTTGATCAGTTTTTCAGTTTTAGGCGATTCAAACAATAGCTCTGAGGCTGAGCTGAAATTGTTTAAGAAGTGAGTGACTCTCTTATCGTTTGGTTTCTCATAGACAACATTAAGTGGGCTCTGTCTGGGCCTAATAAGTCTACGTGTCGATGACTGATTGGGAGGCGTAAAATTACCTTCAAAGGTATCGAATACGATAATAAAGATATTTTTTGGGTCAACAGAAAGGGCTAAATTCGTCTTCTTACATACATTGTTTTTTTTTTTTGGGTCTCTCTACTTATAGGCAGCGTCGAGACGAAATCACTCATTTTTTTCACAGCGTCGCCTACTTCGCCTTTCTTTTCATTTTATCTCTTCTTCTTCTTCTTCTTCACACTCTCGATACTTTTTGCTTCTACAAACTCTCAGATCCACAGAGTTTCATCTCTTCTTTGATTCCTCTTCATCTTGGTTTATGAGGTAAGATTCTCGCACACCGGTCTTATACGTTTGGGTGATTGATGATTGATAATTGATAAATATCGTCTTCCTGGTTTCTCTCTCGCGAACATCTTGAATTTATTCTTCGAAAGTAGTGTATGTTTTTTCTTCTTATCGGGTATTAGAGTGTTTCGTTTGATAATTTGATTGACCCATTGTTCTTTCACAGCTGTTGATTCGAATTCGAGCTATTCAATGTATGATAATTAGGGCTTTTAAAAAAAATCGGATCGCCGATGCTTCAATTTTGGTTTTTTTCTTTGGAATTGGGAATGGAATTAGAGTGTGTACGCTCGTGGATCAGTTAATTTTCTTCAAGCTCGTTAAATTTTGTATTCTCGATTTGCTAGGGTTCCTTAAGAATTTACCCCTTTTCTTGCCTTCACACTTGGTTATTTTGCTCTATTTGCTAATTTATATCCTTCGTTTGTCTTGCAGCTCGAAGGAGAAACCCACTCTCGGGTAAGTGTGATCCCTTTTCACTTTTGAGTTTTTATTAGGAAAAGTGTATCCATTTGTTTTGGCCTGTGTTGTTGTTGTTTGAACAGTTTTAAAGGCTTTTTTTCCCTTTCAATTCAAGTTCTTTTGACCTCAGTAGTGAATCTTTGTCCGTTAGTGTAAATGTTAGCACACTATTGAGCCATCGGTTGTTCTTTGTTTAAATAGTTTTAAATGCTTTCTTTTCTTTTTCTTTTGGAAACGTAAGTTCTAAGTCTGACCCCTGTCTCTAGTATTTAATTTACAATAAGATGTGAGTTGATTTCTTTTGACTGCACTAGTGAGAATCTTTGTCTCCGTTATTTAGTTGTTAGAAATTATCAAAATCACTGAGAGTTGGTATGAGAATGGCTTAAGTTAATCTTTTAAGTCGAGATTTGATGAGTTTCCAGCATTTTATTTATATACTCTTTATTTATACATGCAGAGGTACGCGGATTAAGACCCGCAAGCGTAATATTGCCGCTCCTCTGGACCCTGCAGCGTTCTCTGATGCAGTGGTCCAGATTTACTTGGATAATGCTGGTGATCTGGTATGTTTTCTGTTTTCTGTCCTGGCTTTGATATCTTGACTTGTGATTACATTTTTTGGCTTAAACTTACAGCAGCGCTTGTTTGTTTGGTTTAGGAACTTGTTGCCAAAGCTGTCGAGTCATCAGATCTTAATTTCTCAAGATACGGTGACATCTTATTTGAGGTAATTTTACAACTAAACTGTGGACATTTCATAAAGTGGACTCCTGTTCTCTGTTAACCAGAAATTACTTAGAGCTGTTTTGTTTCAAGTGTCTTGCTAAGCCTTGATGTTTGTTTTAATATTTCTTGAGCCTGATGTTGGTTGTTTGTTTCGCCTATGTCTTAAAGGTTGTTTTCATAGGAGGACGTACACAAACTGGATCAGTGAAATCTGATGAAGGGGAACGCCATCCTTACTCTGTGATTGACTGCGAACCCACGCGTGAAGCCATTTTACCATCTGTTGTCTATATACAGAAAATTCTGCGGAGGAAGCCGTTCCTCATTAAGAACCTTGAAAATGTTACGCGGAGATTCCTGCAGTCACTGGAGCTCTTTGAGGAGAATGAAAGGAAGAAGCTTGCTATCTTCACAGCACTTACCTTTTCCCAGAAGCTCTCGGGATTACCTCCGGAGACTGTCTTCCAGCCATTGCTCAAGGATAATCTTGTTGCCAAAGGGATAGTGCTCACCTTTGTAACAGACTTCTTCAAGGAGTATTTGGTCGAGAACAGTCTTGAAGACTTGATTTCTATTCTCAGGCGTGGCAAAATGGAAGACAACCTTCTGGATTTCTTGCCACCTGTAAGGCGAACTGCTGAAAGTTTCGCAGAGCATTTCACGTAAGTTTCTTTCTCTTGAAGTTTGTTGCATTCACTTATATTACACTACTTCGTCGGTAACAAGTATCAGCTTCTTTAGCTCCTTCGGTTGCATGTATTTTTCTCTAACTTGATTTTTTGCACAGCAGAAAACGCTGCATAAATCATTTTAAATCGGTTGCACTCTGTGGCCAGATTCATTTAAGTAGACATGCATGTAAAACTGTATATCATTCTGTTTTACATTCCAATGTTGCTTCTGTAAGCTGGTGTGAGTACAATATATTGACAAATAAGTGTGTTTGCTTGTTGGAATTTTAGGAATGAGGGACTGACTGATCTAGTAGAGTACCAAGCAAAGAAAATGTTTGAGGTGAAACTGAAGGAAATCAAAACCGTTCTTACGACCAAGGTCACAGAGGAATGTAGCGTAGATGAAGTCATTGAAACTGTGAAGCAGCTGGTCAAAGATGCTAAACTGCCAGAGATTGATGTTGTCCGTGTCGTATGGGATGGTTTAATGGATGCTGTTCAGTGGTCTGGTAAAAACCAGCAGCAAAATGCAAACTCTGTTCTGCGCCAGGTAATATTCATACATGTCATGTCTTATTAAAGTTCCATATACAGTCTTGTGTTACTCCACAAACCGCAAATGGCTTTTCTGATCATCTCTTAATTGTTGAGTCTGTGTAGGTGAAAACATGGGCTGCACTTCTGAACACGTTCTGCAGCAGCGGAAAGCTCGAGCTGGAACTGATGTACAAGGTCCAAATCCAATGCTATGAGGATGCAAAGCTTATGAAAGTGTTCCCAGAAGTAGTGAGGTCGCTCTATGAACTAGATGTCCTCGCTGAAGACACCATTCTCCACTGGTTCCGTAAAGGTACCAACTCAAAGGGCAGGTACGTACTTAGTTCCATACTACTACACTCCTTCATTTGGAGATCTAAACTATTAAAAAAAGAACTATAGTATCTGTCACAGGGCACTTTCTGATGTTTTCTTGTGGTTGAATGTTGCAGACAAACCTTTGTGAAAAGCTTAGAGCCATTTGTGAATTGGCTTGAAGAGGCAGAGGAAGAAGAGTGAGTGAACTTTGTTTCTCCTAATAATCCCTTCTCATTATCTTGTTTTTCTTAAGTTCGAGACAAGAATTCGAAGTTCCTCATCTCTACCCTTTTGCGTTTGATGTATTTTGGGCAATAAGTTGGCTTTACAGATGATTTGTGTTTCTTTTTTTGGTTGAACATTTTGACTATCTGTTTTCGGTTTTGAATTCTATTTCAAAAGCAAAATCCGCTTGATGTGGATGTTGTTTCCTCAAACATTGTTTATCAGCTTCGACATTAGAGAGGCAAAACCAGAGAAAAGGATCTCTTCCTGAAATCCATTGAAACGAACAGAGGTTTACATAGAGAACGCAAAACTCAAAGTTTATGTTTTGAAATGATATTCTCTCTTCTCATGCTTTGTCGAATACACAATAAACTGCATTTTGGGGTAGTATGGGATCAGTAGTAGGCGAAAAAATAACTCGTTTGATCGAGTATGCTACCAATCAATGTTTACCTCTTATTTTAGTGTGTTCTTCCGGAGGAGCACGAATGCAAGAAGGAAGTTTAAGTTTGATGCAAATGGCTAAAATTTCTTCGGTTTTATGTGATTATCAATCAAGTAAAAAGTTATTCTATATATCAATTCTTACATCGCCTACTACCGGTGGGGTGACAGCTAGTTTTGGTATGTTGGGGGATATCATTATTGCCGAACCCTATGCCTATAGCGGTTACTTGTGGTCTTGCACAGCTGAACGAATTTTTGTATTGAGTAGCAATGAGAGGTCAAACTAAACAAGAACAATTGAGTAGCAGAGTATCAAGAACGTCACTTCACTTAAACATCTCGACTTATCCAACAACAACATTTCAAATGAAGACTGTCTGTTGCCTTGTTTAACTGAAACATATAAATGCATTAATAATGTGTTGTTCGTCAGCGTTTACTTGAGCCAACACTTCTACTGGAGTAATTCTATCTCCTTCTTTGTGTGACTTGATTTTGTTGGTGCGTGTAATCCAATACCTCTTGTTGTGTCATATGTACTACAAACTCAGGTCTCCAATGACTTCAACAGAAGAATATTTTGTTTTTGTCTCTTCATTCTCGTTGCCGAATGCAGCTAACCTAAACTTAAGAATATTGTGGACTTTGGCAACAGGTTCAACGAGCTTCTGCGCTATCTGATTTTCACCTGCTGTAAACAGAAAATTTTGACCCTTAAAATCAGCATAATGTAGTTGAAAGTGACAACTGACAAGGAACTAGTTGAGTTTACATGACGGAACAATTCGATTTGTGTTGACATGATAAGTGAACTAACCCTTGTCAGAGAAAGCAAGGCATGTACCAATTGTCTCTATATATTCTCCCACCTTATGAAACAAAAAAGATCAAAAACGATTGTGAATGTCTAAAAGCAAGAGTAACTGAACTTTGGGAAATTAGAGTAGCAACTTAGACTTACCAGCTTGATTTTCCCATCAATTATTATCGTCGGATTCAAAGTATCCAATCCCTGAGAATAAACAGAAGGAAATCTTAAGAAGATGTTAAAAAAAAGTGAAGAAAAGAAAGAAAATGCAAAGAATTGGACTAAACTGATAAAGTGTATGGAGCTTCAGAGGGGATCTCAATGTGCCTTCCAAGATCGCCAAGATCAATGAAAACATATTCGTCGTCTTCTGTACTGAGCTTCACTGATTCATTATTCATTTTATGAATCCCGGAACCTCACAATCGGCAAGGTTTGAGCGTTGAGATCGTCGGAGATGGCAGGGAAGGGTTCAATCGGGCGTGTTAACCGTGAGACTGTGGAAACCGATGGTCGCGAACCGGTTGTAATAAGTCTACGTGTCAATCCCTGATTGGTACAAGTAAATTTACCTGAAAAGGTAACGAATACGATACCAAAGATATTTTTCTGATTACCATTAAGGGCTAAATTCGTCTTTTACATTTATCTTCGGTATAGGCAGCGTCGAGAGTCGAGAAGGAAACTTTCATTTTTTCTCGCAGCGTCGCCTACTTCACCTTTTTTTTCTTCTTCTTCATTCGATCTCTTCTTCTTCTTCACACTCTCGATACCTTTTTGATTCTACAAACTCTCAGATCCACAAAGTCTCATCTCTTCTTTGATTCCTCTTCATCTTGGTTTATGAGGTAAAGAGATTCCCACTCTCTCTCTCTCTCGCACACCGGTCTTATACGTTTGGGTGATTGATGATGACGATAATGGTTTCTTACTCGCGAAAATCTTGTATATGTTTATTTTTGCCTCCTTGGTTATGACTTTTTTTTCGTTTGATTGACTCATTGTTCTATCATTGCTGTTGATTCGAATTCGAGCTATTTGATGTATGATAATTAGGGCTTGTGATAAAAATTGGATCTCCGATGGTACAATTTTGATTTTTTTACTTGCAATTGGGACTGAAATTAGAGTGTGTGCGTTCCTGTATCAGTTAATTTTGGTTAAGGATGTTCCCGTTTGTTAAATGTTGTATGTTGGATTTGCTAGGGTTTCTTAAGGATTGGTTCGTTTTCTTGCTTTCTCACTTGGTCATTTGATTCGTCCGTTGCAAAATTCTTATATCTGTTTAACTTCTTTCTCTCTAATCAATCTACTTCCTTTCGTTTTTCTTGCAGCTCGAAGGAGAAACCCACTCTCGGGTAAGTGATCTCTCTTCTTTTTGGAGTTTTACTATGAAAACTGTATCCAAAATCTTGACTTGTGTTGTTCTTCTTGTTTGAGCCATCGGTTGTTCTTTGTTTGAACAGTTTTAAATGCCTTTTTTCTTATGCAATTTAAGTTCTTTTGACACTTTACCCTTTGTCCGTTAGTGTAATGTGAGCACACTATTGAACCATCGGTTGTTCTTTGTTTTGAATAAATGCTTGTCATTTGTAAGTTAAGTTCTAAGCCTGACCCCTGTTTCTAGTAATATTTAGTTTACAAAGCTGATTTCTTTTGACTTAACTTGTAAATATTTTCCCCTAAGTTTTGTTGTTAGAGATTATCAAAACTTGTCATTTAGAGTGTAGGACGACAGTAAGTTATTCTTTTAACTTGAGATTTGCTATTGAATGTTTTTTTTTTCTTTTTTCTTTTTTCTTTTTGTGTCTCTGCTGAGTTTCCAGCATTTTTGTGATTTGCATAACATGTATCCTTAGATGCTGCTTGTATTTATATACTCTTTGTTTGTACATGCAGAGGTACGCGGATTAAGACCCGCAAGCGTAATATTGCCGCTCCTCTGGACCCTGCAGCGTTTTCTGATGCAGTGGTCCAGATTTACTTGGATAATGCTGGTGATCTGGTATGTTTGCTGTTTTCTGTCCTGGCTTTGATGTCTTTCTTGTGATTACATTTTTTGGCTTAAACTTACAGCAGCGCTTGTTTGTGTGGTTTAGGAACTTGTTGCCAAAGCTGTTGAGTCATCAGATCTTAATTTCTCAAGATACGGTGACATCTTATTTGAGGTAATTTTACAACTAAACTCTCGACATTTCCTTGGTGATCTTTTCTTAGACCAGTTTATAATTTTTCTTCTCCAAATCTTTTGCTTGGTTAGTTCTTTCATCTTAACATTGATATGGTGGACTCCTATTCTCTGTTAAGCAGAAATTATTAACAGCTGCTGTTTCAAGTTTCTTGCTAAACCTTAGAAATACTCTGTATTTTCATCTTGGATGTTTGTTTTAAAATTTCTTGCGACTGATGTTGGTTGTTTGTTTCGCCCATGTCTTAAAGGTTGTTTTCATAGGAGGACGTACACAAACTGGATCAGTGAAATCTGATGAAGGGGAACGCCATCCTTACTCTGTGATTGACTGCGAACCCACGCGTGAAGCCATTTTACCATCTGTTGTCTATATACAGAAAATTCTGCGGAGGAAGCCGTTCCTCATTAAGAACCTTGAAAATGTTACCCGGAGATTCCTGCAGTCACTGGAGCTCTTTGAGGAGAATGAAAGGAAGAAGCTTGCAATCTTCACAGCACTTACCTTTTCCCAGAAGCTCTCCGGATTACCTCCGGAGACTGTCTTCCAGCCATTGCTCAAGGATAATCTTGTTGCCAAAGGGATAGTGCTCACCTTTGTAACAGACTTCTTCAAGGAGTATTTGGTCGAGAACAGTCTTGAAGACTTGATTTCTATTCTCAGGCGTGGCAAAATGGAAGACAACCTTCTGGATTTCTTGCCACCCGTAAGGCGTACTGCTGAAAGTTTCGCAGAGCACTTCACGTGAGTTTCCCTCTCTTGAACTTTGTTGCATTCACTTATAGTACACTACTTCGTTGGTAACATGAATCAGCTTCTTTAGCTCTTTTGTCAGCATGCATTTCGCCAATTCGATTTGTTGATGTTAGTTGCACAGCAGTACACGCCGCATGAATAATTTAGAGCAGTGTCATTATGTTAGTTGGCCAGATTCATTTAGTGGAAATGCAAAATTGTACATCACTTAGCATCCTAACTATGAGAATGCATGAACCATAGAAAGCTATTTTAAGCCTCTTTCCTCTGCCTTTAAACTCCAAGTTTGCATTCTTTTCTTCTATTTGCTGCTTTGTTTATGTTAGTACAATTGATTGACGAAGAACTGTGTTTGCTTGTTGGATTTCTAGGAACGAGGGATTGACTGATCTAGTCGAGTACCAAGCAAAGAAAATGTTTGAGGTGAAACTGAAGGAAATCAAAACCGTTCTTACAACCAAGGTCACAGAGGAATGTAGCGTAGATGAAGTCATTGAAACTGTGAAGCAGCTGGTCAAAGATGCTAAACTGCCAGAGATTGATGTTGTCCGTGTCGTATGGGATGGTTTAATGGATGCTGTTCAGTGGTCTGGAAAAAACCAACAGCAAAACGCAAACTCTGTTCTGCGCCAGGTAATATTTATACATGTCATGTCTTATGACTTATGAGAGTTCCATATATAGTCTGTGTGTCACTCCACAAACCGCAAATGACTTTTGTGATCCATCTTATGGTTGGTTAATCATCTCTTTGATTTTTGAGTCTATGTAGGTGAAAACATGGGCTGCACTTCTGAACACGTTCTGCAGCAGCGGAAAGCTAGAGCTGGAACTGATGTACAAAGTCCAAATCCAATGCTATGAGGATGCAAAGCTTATGAAAGTTTTCCCAGAAGTAGTGAGGTCGCTCTATGAACTAGATGTCCTCGCTGAAGACACTATTCTCCACTGGTTCCGTAAAGGAACCAACTCAAAGGGCAGGTACGTACTTAGTTGATTCCATACCATTGTACTACACTCCTTCATTTCGAAATCTTTTTATCAAAAAAAGAACTATAGTATCTGTCTCAGGGCACTATCTGATGTTATCTTGTGGTTGAATGTTGCAGGCAAACCTTTGTGAAAAGCTTAGAGCCATTTGTGAATTGGCTTGAAGAGGCAGAGGAAGAAGAGTGAGTGAACTTTGTTTCTCCTAATAAAGCCTTCTCAGTATCTTGTTTTTTAAGCTCGAGACAAGAATTCGAAGTTCCTCATTTGATGTATTTTGGGCAATAAGGTTGCTTTCAGATGATCTGTGTTTCTGTTTTTTTGGTTAAACATTCTGACTCTGTTTTCTAATATCGGTTTTAAATTCTATTGCAAAAGCAAAATCTGCTTGATGTGCATTTTCAAAGAATACTAAAACAAGTTTACGTTTTGAATGTTCTCTCTTCTTATCTAATGCTTATCTCTCAATAAGTATTTAGCTATTCATACACACAAGTTGGTTTAGTGTCGCAAGTAAGTATTCATTAATTTACCTTCTCTGTTTGACCAAGTATCCTTCTCGCAAAGTTTTTCTTTAGCATTTGCATATGTACCAAACACAAATTTAACTTGAAATTTGATATACAACAAACTATCTCTTTTTGCTTTATAACTGGAGCTAAACGGCTATTTCTTGTTGTCCCTCCACAGTATGTGATTTTGCATGTTGAGCTGCTTTAACAAGAAAAAGCCGTTTCGCTCCAATTATAAAACAAGCGTTTCACGTGGAGCGAAACGACTATTTCACGTGATTTTGCATGTTGAACTGCTTACATTTTTATATAATTTTTTTGTCTCGATCTTCATTACCATTACAAATACCAATATCAACAAGCGTTTTGAAAAAATCATAAACTTATATATAAAAATAAAATTATATAAAACTTATTGTGGTCCAGAAGATTTTTTTTCATATGGAAAATGGTGTATTTGTATATACTACTATATAATAATAATTATAGTAAAATAAAGGAAAACTAGAAAGTTAAGCAGTAATATTTTGTGGAACTTTATTTCAAATAGTGAATTTTATTCTCTAATTTAAATAGTGGAGTGAGTAGTTTTCACAAACAAAAAAACTTAAATAGTGAGAATTGTATATTTCCTGAGTTACACTGAGTAATTTGTTTTTTTTTTAACGAAATGATAGAAAATTGATGTATTTTCGTCAAGTTTCTCTCGCTTAAAAATGGTCAATGCTAGAAAATAAAGTAATCGGGGAGAGAGAGAGAACCAGAGCGCCATTATCGGAAGAACTTGTGGTTGTTCCTCAAAAATCGATTCTGATTCTCTCCTTTAGATCCGATTCTATCTCCACCTTCAAGCATAAGATTCCGACTCCTTACTCTCTCTTCCTCCTATTGTAAAAAGATTCTCTTTTTTGATTTTGGTGGATGAGATTCTGGATAAAACCAATCATCTATTTCTGTAAAAATCTAAGAGACTCTCTGCTCAAACTGGGATTCTGATAAACTCCTGTCTTGTCTGATTCTCCTCTTTCCTAATCTCTAGTCTTGCAATTTGTATCAATCAATCTGAGAGCTGATCAATCCTTCTAGAGGAATTAGATTGAAACTTTGTTCAATTTCTAACCACCAAATCGGTATTTTTCTCCTCAATTTCAAATCCTGGCGTTGAGTGAAGGCTTGAGATTGAAGGTTCCGTCACCGGAAAACAGCAACGGCTTCGATTTCAACTGCGTTGGTGGTCTGGAGTGCCTGATAAGCGTAATCAGGGCCCTTGATATGGGGTCCTGCTTATCATCCTCAGGAGGAACAACGAGGAGGAGATCCATCCACGGCTCTCCTCGCCGCCCTCCTCCTGGGAGGAGGAAGAGTTCCAGCTCCAAGAGGAGATCCACCTCTTCTTCTTTCGACCACAACAACGGAGAAGAAGCTCCTCTTCTCCATCGGATCCCTGGAAGGATGTTCTTGAATGGCTCCACGGATCATGCTTCTCTCTTCTCTCAACAGGGCAAGAAAGGGCCTAATCAGGACGCCATGATCGTCTGGGAGGTCAGTTTTTTTCAATGAAAGATCACATTTTTGTTATTAAAAATCCCATGTTTATTGTTGTTATGCTCTTATTGTCAATGAGTTTGGATTCTTTGCTTGTTCGTGTTTGATTTATTGTTTCTTTTGTAACAAGTGTCTGCAGAATAGTGAGGGATTAAAGACTACATTTTTGCAATTAAAGACTGCATTTTTGTTGTTGTTGTGCTCTCTATGAATGAATCTTTGTTGAGAGAGGTTCTTTGTTGAGCAATTGATCCATGTCAAACTTATTAGCTGATTTGAGTCTCTATTGTTACTTAGGTGGATATGGATTGTTTAATTGTGTTTATTCTCGGTTGTGATGTGTTTCTTGAATGTTTCAGAATTTCGGATCAATGGAGGACAGTGTGTTCTGTGGTGTTTTCGATGGGCATGGACCGTATGGTCACGTTGTGGCAAAGAGAGTGAGGGATTTGCTTCCACTGAAACTAGGATCTCACTTGGAGTCATACGTGTCCTGCGAGGAAGTGCTTAAAGAGATCAGCCTCAACACCGGTGACAGAAAGAGCTCGGAGAGCCTTGTGCATATATCTGCAAACGGAGAGTCTCGAGTCTACAATAAGGATCATGTGGTAAAGGATCATGATATGATTCAGATGCTGATAGGCTCGATTGTGAAAGCCTATAGATTTATGGACAGGGAGTTGAAGATGCAAGTGGATGTTGATTGCTTTTGCAGTGGCACAACTGCAGTAACTTTGGTCAAGCAGGTAAAGTTTAAAACCAAATTTTGCTGCATGAAAGAAACATCATTTTTTAGTTGTCTTGATTGTTTTGTTCTTTTGGTAGGGTCGACATCTTGTTGTTGGGAATATTGGAGATTCAAGAGCAGTGTTGGGTATGAGGAACAAAGAGAACAAACTTGTTCCTTTTCAATTGACTGAAGATCTCAAACCAGATGTTCCAGGTTTAGCTTTAAAGGCCTCTTTTGTTTTTGGCCTACACATTCTTGATCTAGCAATTAAAGTTTTGATTTTTTTTGGTTTTCTTGTTCTCAGCGGAAGCAGCAAGGATAAAGAGATGTAAAGGACGTGTATTTGCACTTCGTGATGAACCAGGGGTGTCTCGCCTGTGGCTTCCGAACCACGACTCACCTGGTCTCGCCATGGCTCGTGCTTTTGGAGATTTTTGCCTCAAAGACTTCGGTCTCATCTCTGTACCTGACGTCATCTACCGACACCTCAGTGACAAGGATGAATTTGTCGTCTTGGCAACTGATGGGGTAAGTCAAATCCTGTAAATAGAAAGTTCAGTTTCAGAATAGTTTTGGACTAGTGAGCTCATTCAAGACTTGTTTTAAACTAGATTTGGGATGTGTTGACGAATCAAGAAGTGGTAGAGATTGTAGCGAAAGCTCCAACACGTGCCTCAGCAGGACGAGCATTGGTGGAGGCTGCAGTGAGGAATTGGAGATGGAAGTTTCCGACATCGAAAGTGGATGACTGTGCTGTGGTTTGCCTCTTCCTTGACTCTGAACCAAACAAATTGTCAACCGCTTCTTTCTCAGAGGAACCAGAGACAGCATCAACATCAACTCCAGACTCGCCTGAGCTCAATGGAGTCAACAGAATCGACACACTCGTGAATCTGCCGGTGTATGTGCCAACCAAAGAGTAGGAAAGATGTGAGATTAGACTGTCTGTTTCTCTAACTCTCTCTCTCTTAATCAGTTTTTGTTGAGTCAACCCCAAAAGTTACTGTTTGGTGAATTTGGTTGGGTAAATTAGTGTCACACGCCAATACTTTGTGAGCGTGGCTGTTCGTATATATATTACATATATCAATCTACTCTACCAATACTTTCTGGTGCAATCTCATCTTTTCTTTTGTCTGTAAATAAATTACTGTTTGAGCAAATTTTGTTTGTTGGAAAAACACACAAAAGGACTTTGGATTCACTAGTGAGAAACAAATAAATATGTTTTCAGAGTTATAAAATGGGTGCATCTGCTTTTTAGAAACCGAATAACTATGCGTTTTCCTTGCTTGTTCAGAGTGTATTGACTCTGGTTTTGCGTTTGAACCTCTCCCACAACGTTTTCCAATAACTGTAGATGCCGCAGCTGAGCAAACAGATCAAAGACTTGAGAAGACCCCAAACCGAAGGTTGACCTAAACCTATTCCGAACAACAACAGAAATAAGTTGAGGTCAACAAAACCAGACACAAAACTACCAAATATCCGATAGAATTTTGCCAACAGAAAACTTGCGTGAAGCGATGTCTGCGATTGGTAAAGAAACGTTTCAGAGAGAGAGGAATTAAGAAGTAGAAACCAAACGTTTAAGAGAGATTTGTGAGAGAGGTGGAGTATTAGTTGTTCGTGCTTAGTGAATTTATAGAAGTTGATTACATTTAGTGTCTTTATTAGGGTTCTCCATGCAGTCATTTTGATTGGCGCGATTGCACGGCAAGTCTATTTTTGTATTTAAATAAGTCTCGAAAATTGTAACACTTTAAATGCAAACGTCATTACCCATACAAACAAGCTGCGTTACTTGATTGGTAATTTAATATTTTTACTTGTATAAATCGATTTATTTAAATAGTAAATAGTAAATACACATAATATTTTATTACCGCAAGAGTTGACATAACACATGCAATACATATAATTAATTTTTTTTTTTTTAATACATATTCCCTCTGTCCCATATTATAAGCTGTTTTGATATAATATATTTGCAATTTTCTGGATGTATCAGGATAGTTTTAGGTCCAAATACATCTAGAAAATTGCAGATACATTATGCCAAAACAGCTTATAATATTTATAATATGAGACAGAAGGTATAATTTATATTTGAGTAGTTATACAACAAAAATTAGATATACTGTAATTAGTTGTCCTATGTAAATTACATGACTCGAAAAAGCCAAATCACATCCACAGAAGAATCAAATGAATCAAACAATCTCAAACCAATATAATGAAGTAAAAGAATGGTAAACCGTAATTAATATCGACGATAACGTTACAAATGTTCCTTTCATGATCGAAGAAGCTAAAGTGGGATTATTTGCTACGCGTGAGTAAGCTGCTACTAATCCATCTTTAGCTTTTATACTTGACGAACGGTTCATTTCAATTTAACGGTTCGTTTCCATTTGACGAACAATCCATTTACGAGCGGTTTATCATGAACCTAAACAAAACATTAACATTTTGGTTTGCGTTTGATTTTAATTTTCGTAATCTAAATGAGTTCTTCTCGGATTCTAGCTTACTTACAGTTGTGGTCTGCGGCAGACCGTCTGCTCATCCAATGACTTAATTCTCAAGATCATATACTAATTTGTTTTCTTTTGTTAAAAGGCTTAAGATCATATACTAACTTGTTTGAAAGCACCAAATCTACATATGAAGAAAACAAAATTTGAAGCAAGTGTAACAGCAGATGAAGACAAACACAGATTTTAAGATTTTAAGTTGTTTTAGAAAAAGAAAAGAAAAAACGAACTATTTTGATGTGCAAAAAGATGGCAGATCGTGCATAAAATTAAAGAACTTGGAATTCATTGAAAAACTTTATATACTTGGATCAAGATGAAATTTGGATATAGTTTAGCCACTTGATTCATATCTCATTTGGTGGTGGTTTAAGGTATTTCCGACAGTCGTTTCGAAAGTTATGCCAATTTTCTTGAATACTTAGGTTGTTTGTCGTAACTCGTAAAAAAATAGAGGAATCTGCATGCAGTCACGGTGATACACAAACCGTTCCAGATTCCAAACCAATCAGTCCAGTTTTAGATGCAAAAATAATCTGGCCTAAACTCAATCGGTTCCACACTACATCCGACCCAATTCGTTTTTTTAATTGTTTTGGTAACCTAGACTTACTTTCAAAGACTTGTTTTTCAATTTTGAACCCAAGAATTTTTGTTTTTTGAAATTTAGGAGTACAGTATATGGTATCAATCATTTTGCGTTGTATATAGACATCAAGTAGCAAATCAACTTTCACTTCCGCCATATTTATACAAGGCCATATTATTTGTCTTCATCTAGGGGTTAAGGTAGAACGGTTAATGCCACCACGCCACTGACTGCCGCTGCAATTGCTCCGACCACAAATCCAGGTAAGTTTCCACCTCCAAACAAGGCGTCGAAAGGCCCAGCTTCAAGTGACACCACCATTTGTGGTATCACGATTGCCAGATTTAGAACTCCGAGTGAAAGTCCTATAAAGTTGAACAACACCAATTATAAACTTGAAAAAATATTATTTATCATGATCATATTTGGTAAAATTCCATACACTATCCAAATCAATGAATATCCATTCTTGGGTAGACAAAGAGAAAAAGAAATTTAAAATACCTTGGCCGGCGCCGGAGTTGCTTGAGATAATGGAAGCTAGTGCAAACGGAATACTGAAAGTAATCTATCATAATATCCAAAAATTATGGTTAGTTTAAACAAAATAATTAACGAATGGATATTAATAGTATCATAATTGGAAAAAAAAAAAAAAACCAAGAAAGGCCAAACTGGACTTACAGCAAGAAGGATTCCAAGAAAAGCAAAGATTGTCAATGCTTCACCTCTAATTGCATCGGTGGGACCGGCAAACGCACCGCGGTTTTCCTGTGAGCCTCCGCCAACTTTGTAATCAAAACCGTCAAACCCAAACACACGGCAAGGATAAAGTTGACAACTCCCCAAAGCCGTTTAGCTCCTCCCATTTTCTGACTCGATAAAAAGGGACACGACTCCAAGAACGATTGCATTAATCATCAAACCCAACGCACCAGCGTGGACTCCTTTGTTGTAAAGGTCCTTCATTTTGTCGTCTCCACTAGAGTCTCCACCGTACACTTCACGACCCATCCAGTCAGTATCGAATAGAAGAAAAGGGAACCACGCGATCCAGTTTAAGGCAGTGACGATAATCAACATCCACATGGGACGTTCCATGACCCTGAAAGCTCCAAAGATCTCGCCGAAGAAGGAGTTTTCACGTTGGAGGCTCCTTTCTCGGGAGACCATTGCTTGTCTTTGACGTAAAAGAGTGATGTGATGGTGACAGCGAGGAGGAGAATGATGGAGAGGAAGAAACAGCTCTTGAGGTTGGCGCAATAGATGTCGCATGCTTCAGTCATCGTGAAAGGAAACATCTTGTGGAGGTTAGTGTAGGATCCAGCAGCGTATCCCAAAATGTTTCCAACTGCCATAAAGAAAGAGAAAACCGCGTTTGCGGTCCGAGTTTGCTTAGCGTCTCCTGCGAGAGATCGGCGAGGAAAGCGCGGCAAGGTCCTTGAAGGGTGTTGTTGGCCACGTCGAGGATCCAGAAACCGAGAGCGAAGAACCATATGGCTCGTACTTTCGGAGTCTTTTCAAGATTGTCTCCGGCTAAGCGGCCAAGATCAGCAGCGTATCCAATAAGAATACCAGCGACAGCGACAAGGGCGGCACCGACTGCAATGAAAGGACGGCGACGGCCGAATCTGGAGGTGCATCTGTCGCTGTAGTAACCGACGGTTGGCTGGACAAGCATGCCGGAAATGGGACCACAAAGCCATATGAGAGATGACCATTTATGTGGGATTCCGAGTAGCTGAACGTATGGAGTCAGCAAAGAAAGCTGTAAGGCCCACCCAAACTGTACACCGCGGCGATTGAAGCCACCGATATGATTTTTTTCAATGGCGATGGCTCATTAAAATCAGTCGGACGACCGACGACTCTGTCTTTAGAACCTCGTCATCTTTGGCCGCTGTTTTGGCCTTGAGGTTAGTCATATCGATTTGGAGAATCTTAAGATTTTATTATTGTTGTTGTTGTGTTTGTATTTGAAGAAGAAGATGAGAGAATGAGGTTTTATATAAGCAAGGAGAAGGATGAGATGATTTTCTTTTTAAAACTGTTAGAGGTTGTATTTTTAGAATGTGTTTTTCTATAACTAAAATATTGGTTTGATTTTGTATAATAACTGTCTTGGTAAATGCTGTAACATATGCTGTTATAATCCTTTATAGATAATTTGTTACAATAATGACAAGTCAAACCTAATTGGTAAATGCCTGTATAACCAAAATCCGTGTTATCCTCATTCCATCGATATATTTTTTTTTCTTTCCGTTCTAATCTTCGACAAACTTTACTTAGATCATGCAAATTTCCATTTCAAGCGAATCTTTTACATTTTTTGGAGACGATTGTTTTAGCTTTACATGGAACCATGCATATTGGCTATTGCAAATTCATTACCAAAAGTGGTTATACTACACAAAGTGGTTAAAACCTAATTATATACTAGGTTTTAACCCGCGCACGCGCGGGTCTGTTCTAATGATTTTTTAAATTGTTATATTTAAATTTATTTTCTTCCAAAGCTTCACAATTTTTTATTTTTTGCTGTTTTTTTATAAACTTATCTTTGTAATATACTTTTTAATTATTTTTTTACTTTACCAATTTAATTATTTTATAATTAATCATAATAAGTAAGGTACTTTTTAAAAACGTATTTTCTGTAAAAAACATACAATAGCCCTATCCTCACATTTCTTAATATTTATATGTTTTGTCAATTGCTTCATAAAATTCGACATAAGAATAGATCCCAAACTTTTCTTTTTCAATATTATGACAACATGATCAGCCTGAACCAACATTGTTTTTAAGTGAACCGTATTAGAAACTTGTGAAAAAAAAAACCTTATAATTTGGCTTGTCGTCTTTGTTCTAAATTGGTAGCTTCTTTTTCTTTTTATTTATTCTTATTCGTTTTTTTGGTCATCTTCACTCATCTTCTTTGCTCTTCTTCGTCTTCGCTCGTCTTGCTTCCTCTTTTGGTTTCTTCTCCTCCTTTCTTCTTTGATTAATTCTTAATTTTCAATTTCATCTTCGTGGTTTCTTATTCGGTGTTTCCGTCTTCAACTTTGTTATTCTTTGGGTCTTTTTTTTTCTTTCTACTTTGGTATCTTCGTCTTCGATAATTTTTAATTTTATCTTCTTAATGTTCTTCTTTCATATCCTCTTCATATGTCATTTTTCAGTCTGAGTATATGATTCAGCCATTTTCTTCAACAAACTTGTGGCAAATGAGAACTCTTCACTGTAAATCCTTCAAGGTGCAACAAAGATGATTACTTTGTCTCCAATAGTTTTATTGTCTACTCCTTTCCACCCTTGGATTTTTTGGCATCCGTAGAAGGCTGGTACTCTCTTCCTATTTGAATATTGTGAGTTACAGTAAAATAAAATCTTCCTTAAGGCTGTGAAAGATGTCCATGAATGAATGCCCGAAGTTCAGCTAAGAAAGCAGCCTCTTTTTATCCTCTGTTTGGCATGCATTAGAATATGGAACACAAAATATTGTTTTTGTAATGCAACTTGGAATATTTTCTTAGAAAAATGTGGTATGATATGGATTATCAAATCTCCCTTGAACTCTCATCTGCTCCGTAGAAGTGCAAGTATACTAATTACTTCGTTTTTTCTTCCTCTTCACTTATATTCACTCATCCACACTCATCATCTACTTTGATCTTCTTCGTATTTGCTCGTCTTGCTTCTTCTTTAGACAAATGTGGTATGAGATGGATTATCAAATCTTCTCCGTAGAAGTGTAAGTATACTAATTACTTCGTTTTTTCTTCATCTTCACTTATATTCACTCATCTACACTCATCATCTACTTTGATCTTCTTCGTATTTGCTCGTCTTGCTTCTTCTTTTTCGTTCTTGTTTGGTTTATTCTCCTCTGTTCTTATTTGATTCCTTATATATCAATTTCATCTACGTGGTTTCAGATTCGGTGTTTCCATCTTCTACTTTATTCTTCTTTGGTTTTTTTTTTTTGTCTTTCTATTTTGGTATCTTCGTCTTCGATGTTCTTCATTTTTATCTTCTTATTGTTCTTATTCCATATCTTCTTCATATGGTATTTTATAATATGAATTTGTGATTCAGTCTTTTTTTCAACGAAGTTGCGGCAAGCGAACACCTTTCATTGAAACTTCTTCAAGGTGCAAAAAAGATGACTACTCTGTCTCCAATAGTTTTATTATCTACTCCTCTCTACCTTTGGATTTTTTTGCATTTGTAGAAGGCCCATAAACTTTTCCTATTTGAATATTGTGATTTACATAAAGATAAAATCCTCTTTAAAGTTGTGAATAATGCCCAATTGCCCATGAATGAGTGATGCCCGAAGTTCAGCTAAGAAAGCAGACTCTCTTTACCCTCTCTATTTGGCATGCATTATAATCTGAAATGGAAAATCTTGTTGTGATAATGCAACTTGGAATGTTTCCTTGGACAAATGTAGTATGAGATGGATTATCAAATCTCCCAAGAACTCTCCTTTGCAATGCAAGTCTAGTCTTTACTTGTTTGACCAATATTGTTGAAATTCTTGTGATAAATAAAGTGTAATTTAGTGGGCTATATGCATATTTTTCTTTTCCCAATGTAAGTTGGATCTCGCAAAACTTGATCTCTCTTATCATCTCAAAGGAACTACACATGAATTTAAATGTCTTCTTCATGACATTAGCCGTCTTTATTATTATTATTTTTTATCTTTTTTTATTATTTCATATCTAGATTATGTAATGTTAATATCCACTCACTTGCAAAGTTGGCTATATTTACTTTGAACAAATCTTTCAGTTATTACTTATTAGGGTGTAACTTTCTCTTTTTGTTTTTTTTTTTTTAAGTTAGCTAAAAAAGAAAACTCACCATATAATTTTTCATAATTAATATAGTAGTTCCCTTAAAATATTTTTGTATAAATCTTTCAAATATAGTTACTATTTTAACAAAAATTGAAGCACTTTATTTAATTATTTTGGAATTTTGAAGTTTAATAATTTAAAATCGGTTATATATTAGAGTTACTAAAAAATTAATATTACAAATTTACAAAATCGTTTATATATTAGTTTCTTTTTATTGGTTTAGAAAATATAATTTCTTTATTTAATAAATTATTTAATACGAAAATAAATAATTCCCTTAAATTCGGAAATTATCTGAAAATATAAAAAGGAAATCAATTAATTTTACAAAGACTGTAATTAAATTTATATGATGATGTGGAATGAAACTATTGATTGTTTAAAATTGGAAAAATTACTTAATTTTGGAGATGTTAATGTGGACCAATTAAATCGCGTCTTTAAATCTTATGTGGACACTTTTAGAGGCTTATAGCCTCAACTTTTATATTCTCTTAAAATATTTTTGTATAAATCTTTCAAATATATTACTAAATCGAATTTAAGTTTTAACAAAAATCGAAGCACTTTGTTTAATTATTTTGGAACTGTGAGGTTTCTTAATTTAAAATCAGTTATATATTAGAGTTATTAAAAAAAATATTACAAATTTAAAAATTGTTTATATATTAGTTTCTTTTCATTGGTATTTGAAAATATAATTTCCTTATTTAATAAATTAGTTAATACGAAAATAAATAATGCCCTTAAATTAGGAAATTTTCTGAAAATATAAAAAGGAAATCAATTAATTTTACAAATACTATAATTAAATTTATATGATGATGTGGAATGAAACTATTGGTTGTATAAAATTGAAAATTACTTAATTTTGGAGATGCTTATGTGGACCAATAAAATCGCGTCTTTTAATCCTATGTGGACGCTCTCAGAGGCTTATAGCCTCAACTTTTATATAGTATAGATTAGTACAACCCATGAATTATATGGTTATCAGACTTTTACTTTTTCTTTTAAATAGGCTTAATGCAAATTTTTTGTTGGATTTAGTTTGGTTAAAGTGGGGTTATAAAAAGGGTTTTTTTTTGCTGATGTAAACAACTTAAGAAGAGAGAACACTGAGATATTTTCATAGAAATTTCATTATATTCGGTGTTTTTTTAAATCTTATCTTTCCAAATAAAATCAAATTACTTCTCATAATATTAGCTAGTTGGGTGTAATTTTATTCAAATATTTATGTTTATCTTCCAAATAATATAGAGTTATTCAAGTTATGGTTTGCTTATAGAACGGAGGTTGCTGCTGGCTAGCTAGAATGTAAGTTAGAGGAGAAGGGCACACACACACGGAACATAAACCTCCAGGCTCCAACCAATTTCATGCATTCACAAAGATTAAAAAGGAATAAAAAACATGAATGGTACGTAAAAAATGTTATCGTTTGGTTGAATTAAAAAATTGCACAGAAACTATAATTAAGGAACATATATTCTCACGCATACATGACATCAAGCAGACATGTTACAGGCTACATATCGTGTAAAGCTCTATATACGTACTCTACATATATAACAGAAATAAATGATGCCGTAAGTTAAGCATGAAGTTTCGGTAATAAAAATATATAAAAAAAAAAAACATAAGGGAAAGTTTTGATGAAATGTAAATTTTTTTTAATCAGAAAACAAGACAGCGAGGTGGAGAACATGAGTGATTAAATTGAATGCAAATACACGTAAGGAGTTTACTTCATTAATCTCCATGCAAGTCCCATGCACTCAAACCCTTCTATATAAACCCCTCCAAGTTCATCATTTAATCATCATCAAATCAACATCGGTCTATAATCCCATCAAAGAAACCATAGATCTCTCATCCATGGCAATTCCAAAAGCTCTCTACTCTTTAACCATCCTTACCGTTCTCTTTGTGGTTTCGAGTAGTCAAACTGTCTGCAATCCAGAATGCAAGGCAAAAGAACCCTTCAACTGTGACGATGTTCTTACATTCAACCGATCTGGATTTGCAAAGAATTTCACTTTTGGTGCAGCTACTTCTGCATACCAGGTACATACATATATCTCTGTGGCCTTTGGATATCGATTCGTAAGCAATATTTGTCAAGTTCATAATTATTTACAAAATAGAATGATTGATTCTATTTAATTTGTTCTCCCAGATTGAAGGTGCTGCGTATAGAGCATTCAATGGATGGGACTACTACACTCATAGATATCCAGGTCATAACATCATTTACGTAGTACTGTTATTGTTTATATATATGCACCTCGAATCGAATGTATGGATTATTAGAAAGAACTAGTCATGCTCATATATTGGTTTGTTACATACAGAAAAAGTTCCGGATAGGAGTTCAGCAGACCTTGCTTGTGATTCGTATCATCTTTACAAGGTGAGTGGCCGGAATATGATGAATAATATGATGAATATATGTGTATATGATATTTGTTCCATTTAAAATTGGTAAACGTATTTAACTTTCAAATAATGTGAACAGGAGGATGTCGCACTACTAGTAAAACTCAAGGCTCAAGCATACCGATTCTCAATAGCATGGTCAAGGGTCTTACCAAGTAAGTACATATATAGACCTATATACTTCTGTCTTTTCTTCATGTCTTCATCTAATTAATTAACAAAAGAATATTAATTATATTTATATACACAGTTGACCTACATAACTAAATTGTGATTAGGCCTTTTAACAAAAAAAAAACACTAATTTGTGATTATATTCTAACCTTAGAGGGAAGAGGAAGAGTGGACGAGAATGGTATTTCATACTACAACAATCTCATCAACGAGTTAGTAAAGAATGGTAAATTCCGAATTCTTAATAATACTTTGTTCATACGGTTTTAATCATAATTAATTAACTTGCATGAGTACGTACGATTCACAGGCATTGAACCATATGTCACTATATTTCATTGGGATATGCCTCAAACTTTAGAAGACGAATACAAAGGCTTCCTAGACAAACGTATAGTGTAAGTCCATTAGATCATAATACTTGTTTAAATTCTTTGATTTGGTTCTGTACAGATCTATCCATATTTAATATATATGATATGAAACATAAACAGGGAGGATTACACAAACTACGCGGAGCTTCTATTCCAAAGATTTGGAGACAGAGTCAAATTTTGGATTACTCTGAACCAGCCTTACTCTCTCGCAACCAAAGGTTATGGTGATGGATCGTATCCTCCGGGACGGTGCACCGGCTGTGAATTTGGAGGAAACTCTGCAACCGAACCTTATATAGTTGCACATAACCAACTTCTTGCTCATGCAACTACTGTAGCTTTGTACCGAGAAAAATATAAGGTATATAAATCAATCTGATACAATCTCTTTCAAGATGATCATCTGTTTTAATTTACTTTGTGTTATGTATTTTATAATCTAAATTACTTTATGCAGAAATCTCAAGGTGGTAAGATAGGAACAACCTTAATCGGAAGATGGTTCGTCCCATTAAACGAAACTAGTGATGAGGACAAGGCTGCTGCAAAACGGGCATTCGATTTCATTGTCGGATGGTATATATGTTCAATTAATTGATTCTCACATCACCTATATATTAATAATTTTTTTACAAGGTTTTGTTCACAAAAGTTGTAACAAACATACCTTCAGTATTAATCTAGTTTATGAATATGCTCATACATTTATGAAGGTTCTTGGATCCATTGGTGTACGGAGACTATCCAGAGATAATGAAAAAGATGCTTGGAGATAGATTGCCAACATTCGGACCTAAAGAATCAGCTTTAGTTAAAGGATCACTCGATTTTCTAGGGTTGAACTATTACGTTACACATTATACAGCCGACGCATCTATTTCCATTCCTCCAATACCTAGTGTCGCAACCGATCCACGAATTACACTTACATGTATGTTAAACTTCTTTGTTGATTTTTCTTTTTTATAGAATATATTAGATTAATATTAGCTAATCTTTTTTTTTCCCTATAATTGGTCTCAGATTATCGCGATACAGTTCCTATTGGCGTTGTGGTTAGAATCAACTTCAATTTGGAATATTTTTTTTTTTATTAGAAGTTGGTTTGACTATTGTCTTCTTCTTCTACAGGCTCCCAGCTTTGTCTACTATCCTCCAGGATTCCGTATGATTCTAAATCACATCAAAGTCAACTACGGAAATCCACTTACCTACATTACTGAAAATGGTATGTACATATATTTTGTTTTTATCCAATAAGAAAAACCTAAATATGTGTTTATTATCAAATCTTGTGTGTTTCAGGAGTTGCTGATCCTGGAAACGGAAACTTACCGATTGGAGAAGCTCTTGCCGACACAAAAAGAATTCAAAATCATTGCAGCCATCTTTCATGTCTCAAATGCGCCATCGGGTGAGTTATAAAACCCGTATACTGTTTTATATACTTTTTTTTCAGAACTATAAATGTTAACGTACATCAACATTTTCTTATAGGGACGGATCCAACGTAGCAGGATATTTGCATGGTCCTTAATGGACAATTACGAATTCGGAAATGGTTACACTCTCCGGTTTGGTATGAATTGGGTCAACTTTACTAATCCTATTGACCGAAGGCAAAAGGATTCTGGCAAATGGTACTCTACATTCATCACAAAATAAGGGTCTCCGATAAATATAAATCAGTTACATGTATCCAACCTCAAAATCTAATAATAATACTATTGCATTATATTATAATTAATTACTAAAGCTTATATGTCGTGTATTTTACAAGCGTTGTAATAATCGGACCTTAATTCTAGGTCAAATCATAAATAAATCTTAATTTATATGAAGCTTGCTTTGTTATTGTTCTTGGTTCGATACTCATCTTGTTAAGGACAACTTTTCTAAAACCTATAACGTGCGCTAATTTGATATAACTACCACGCTCGCGAACAAAATATTAAGTCCAAGGATGTTATATGAAATTCTAGAGCAAAGTCAAATTCTTATTCTTGCATAAAAGTATTGACGTTTTTTATTAGAGCCGAAGATCATATACTATAACTTGTTTGAAAGCACCAAATCTACTTATAAAGAAAACCAAATTTGAAGCAAGTGTAACCGAATATGAAGACAAGCACAGCTTTTTCGTGCTAAGTCTATATTAGTATTTAAATATTTTAAGTCGTTTTAGGGAGAAAAAAAAGAACTATTTTGATTTTTGAGGTGCAAAAAGATGGCAGGTCGTGCATAAAATTAAAGAACCTGGATTCTATTGAAAAACTTTACATACTTGGTTCAAGATGAAATCTGGAGATAGTTTAGTCACTTGACTCATCTCTCATTTGGTGGTGGTGTAAGGTATTTCCGTTTCGAAAGTTATGCCAATTTTCTTGAATACTTGGTTGTTAATTTGTCGTAAAAAAACAGAGGAATCTGCATGAATTGACTCCGACAGTGATAGACTAACCAGTTTTAGATGCAAAATCTGGCTTAAACTCAATCGGTTTCACTCTACATCCGAACCATTTCGGTTTTTATTGTTTTGGTAGCCTAGACTTACTTTCAAAGCCTTGTTTTTCATTTTTGAACCGAAGAAATGATTAAAAAATAATAAAAAGTACAGTATGTGGTATCAATCATTTTACGAAGTATATTTGTTTTCTCTCTATAGACATCAAGTAGCAAATCAACTTTCACTTCCGCCATATTTATACAAGGCCATATTATTTGTCTTCATCTAGGGGTTAAGGTAGAACGGTTAATGCCACCACGCCACTGACTGCCGCTGCAATTGCTCCGACCACAAATCCAGGTAAGTTTCCACCTCCAAACAAGGCGTCGAAAGGCCCAGCTTCGAGTGACACCACCATTTGTGGTATCACGATTGCCAGATTTAGAACTCCGAGTGAAAGTCCTGTAAAGTTGAACAACACCAATTATAAACTTGAAAAATATACTATTTCTTATGATCTTATCTATACATGTCTGGTAAAATTCCATACACTATCCATATCAGTGAATATCCATTCTTGGGAAGACAAAAAAAAAAAAAATTTAAAATACCTTGGCCGGCGCCGGAGTTGCTTGAGATAATGGAAGCTAGTGCAAACGGAATACTGAAAGTAATCTATCATAATATCCAAAAATTATGGTTAGTTTAAACAAAATAATTAACGAATGGATATTAATAGTATCATAATTGGAAAAAAAAAAAAAAAAAGAAAGGCCAACTGGACTTACAGCAAGAGGGATTCCAAGAAAAGCAAAGATTGTCAATGCTCCACCTCTAATCGCATCGGTGGGACCGGCAAACGCACCAGCGGTTTTCCTGTGAGCCTCCGCCAACTTTGTAATCAAAACGTCAAACCCAAACACACGGCAAGGATAAAGTTGACAACTCCCCAAAGCCGTTTAGCTCCTCCCATTTTCTGACTGATCCATTCAATAAAAAGGGACACGACTCCAAGAACGATTGCATTAATCATCAAACCCAACGCACCAGCGTGGACTCCTTTGTTGTAAAGGTCCTTCATTTTGTCGTCTCCACTAGAGTCTCCACCGTACACTTCACGACCCATCCAGTCAGTATCGAATAGAAGAAAAGGGAACCACGCGATCCAGTTTAAGGCAGTGACGATAATCAACATCCACATGGGACGTTCCATGACCCTGAAAGCTCCAAAGATCTCGCCGAAGAACGGAGTTTTCACGTTGGAGGCTCCTTTCTCGGGAGACCATTGCTTGTCTTCCACGTACCAGAGTGACATGATGGTGACAGCGAGGAGGAGAATGATGGAGAGGAAGAAACAGCTCTTGAGGTTGGCGCAATAGATGTCGCATGCTTCAGTCATCGTGAAAGGAAACATCTTGTGGAGGTTAGTGTAGGATCCAGCAGCGTATCCCAAAATGTTTCCAACTGCCATAAAGAAAGAGAAAACCGCGTTTGCGGTCCGAGTTTGCTTAGCGTCTCCTGCGGAGAGATCGGCGAGGAAAGCGCGGCAAGGTCCTTGAAGGGTGTTGTTGGCCACGTCGAGGATCCAGAAACCGAGAGCGAAGAACCAGCTGGCTCGTACTTTCGGAGTCTTTTCAAGATTGTCTCCGGCTAAGCGGCCGAGATCAGCAGCGTATCCAATAAGAATACCAGCGACAGCGACAAGGGCGGCACCGCTGCGATGAAAGGACGGCGACGGCCGAATCTGGAGGTGCATCTGTCGCTGTAGTAACCGACGGTTGGCTGGACAAGCATGCCGGAAATGGGACCACAAAGCCATATGAGAGATGACCATTTATGTGGGATTCCGAGTAGCTGAACGTATGGAGTCAGCAAAGAAAGCTGTAAGGCCCACCCAAACTGTACACCAGCGGCGATTGAAGCCACCGATATGATTTTTTTCAGAGGTGATGGCTCACCAAATCTGTTGGGACGACCGACGACTCTGTCTTTAGAACCGCATCATCTTTGGCCGCTGTTTCGGCTTTGAGGTTATTCATATCGATTCGGAGGATCTTGAGATTTTATTATTGTTGTTGTTGTGTTTGTGTTTGAAGACGATGAGAAAATGGGGTTTTATAAAGAAGGATGTGATGGTTTTTTAAGAAAAAAACTGTCAGAGGTTATATTTTTGGAATGTGTTTTTTATAACTGAAATATTCGTTTTATTTTGTATAATAACTGTCTTGGTAAATCTTGTAAAATATGCTGTCATAACACATATTATCTTTTTAGATAATTTGTTACAATAATGACAAGTCAAACCTAATTGGTAAATGCCTGTATAACAAAAATCCGTGTTATCCTCTTTCCATCGATATTTTTTTTTTCCCTTCTAATCTTCGACAAACTTTACCTAGATGGCTAGATCATGCAAATATCTTTTACATTTTTTGGAGACGATCGTTTTAGCTTTACATGGAGAGAACCATGTATGCATATTGCAAATTTATTACCAAAAGTGGTTATACTACACAAAGTGGTTAATTATTAGTACAACCCATGAATTATATGGCTAGTACAAACCTAATTACTTTTTTCTTTTAAATTGGCTTAAATAGGCTTAATGCAACTTTTTGTTGGTTTTGGTTATGAATAATTATTATGTTTGGGATTTAGTTTGGTTAGAAATGGGGTCATAATCTTTTTTTTTTCCGCATAACTTAAACAACTTAAGAAGAGAGAAAACTCCCAGGTTATATGTGATATATTTTTTTATCTTACTAATTTTCATAGAAAATTCATTATATTCGGTGTTTGTTGAAATCTTATCTTTCCAAATAAAATCAAACTACTTCTCATATATAATATTAGCTAGTTGGGTGTAATTTTATTCAAATAATTATGTTTATTTTCCAAATAATATGGAGTTATTCAAATGTATTGTATGGGGTTTGTAAATTAGTAATTTAATATTTGAAACTTATTAATGAGACAAGTCATGGTTTGCTTTTAGAACAAAGGTTGCTGCTGGCTATAGCCACACACACACACACACACACGGAACTTAAACCTCCGAGCTCCAACTAGTTTCATGCATCCACAAGATTAAAAAGGAATAGAAATATGAATGGTACGTAAACTGTAATAGTTTGACTGAATTAAAAAATTGCATTTAAATTACAATTAAGGAACATATATTCTCACGCAGACATGTTACATGCTACATATCGTGTAAAGCTATATACGTATTCTACAAATATACGGGAACTCTATGATGCCGTGAACTCGAAGTGCTACTTTCTTGTTTTTTTTCTTTTATAAGGGATATAGTTTTGGTGAAATGTGATTTATTTATATTAGAAAACAAAGTCAGCGAGGTGGAGAACATGGGTGATCAAATTGAATGCAAATATACGTAAGGAGTTTACTTCATTAATCTCCATGCAAGTTGTCCCATGCACTAAAACCTTTCTATATATAAACTCCCTCCAAGTTCATCATTTAATCATCATCAAATTAACATACTTATATACACAATCTATAAGCCCAACAAAGAAACCATAGATCTCTCATCCATGGCAATTCCAAAAGCTCTCTACTCTTTAGCCATCCTTGTCCTTCTCTTTGTTGTTTCGAATAGTCAAACAGTCTGCAATCCAGGATGCAAGGCTAAAGAACCGTTCAACTGCGACAATGTTCATACATTCAACCGAACTGGATTTGCAAAGAATTTCACTTTTGGTGCAGCTACTTCTGCATACCAGGTACATATATATATATATATATCTTCGTAATAATATATATGGCTTTTGGTTATTGATTCGTAACAGTGGCAATATTTTGTCAGAATAAAATGATTGGATTCTATTTAAATTCTTCTACCAGAGTGAAGGTGCTGCACATAGAGCATTGAACGGATGGGACTATTTCACTCATAGATATCCAGGTCATAACATCATTTACGTAGTACTGTATTGTTAATATATATATATATATGGACCTGGAATCGAATGTATAAATTATTAGAGAAAGAAGTATTCATGCTCATATCTTGGTTTGTTTTGTTACGTACAGAAAAAGTTCCGGATAAGAGTTCAGCAGACCTTGCTTGTGATTCGTATAATCTTTACAAGGTGAGAGGCCGGTGATGATGAATTCATATTGATAAATTTGTATATGATCTATTTGTTACATTTTTATTTTGGATACGTACGTAATTTAACTTTCATTCAATCTGAACAGGAGGATGTCAAACTACTAGTAAAACTCAATACCGATTCTCAATAGCATGGTCAAGGGTCTTACCAAGTAAGTACAGAAACATATCTATCGGTCTTTTCTTCATGTCTTCATCTAATTAACCAAAGGATTTTGATTGGATGTTGAGCTACTTAATTAATTTGTGATTATATACTACTCTTAGAGGGAAGACTGATTGGAGGGTTGGACGAGAATGGTATTCAATACTACAACAATCTCATCAACGAGTTACTAAAACATGGTAAATTCCGAATTCTCTTAATATTGTACTACTAATTAATCATGCAGTTTGATCATACTTAATTAACTTGCGTGAGTACGATTCACAGGCATAAAACCATATGTCACTATATTTCATTGGGATGTTCCCCAAACTTTAGAAGACGAATACGGAGGCTTCCTAAGCAAACGTATAGTGTAAGCCCATCAACTAATATTTTTAGTTATGTACATATATCCATATTTAATATATATGACATCATATGATACATGAACAGGGAGGATTACACAAACTACGCGGAGCTTCTATTCCAAAGATTCGGAGACAGAGTTAAACATTGGATCACTTTGAACCAGCCTTACTCTCTCGCAACCAAAGGTTATGGAGATGGATCGTATCCACCCGGACGGTGCACTGGCTGTGAATTTGGAGGAAATTCTGCAACCGAGCCTTACATAGTTGCACACCACCAACTTCTAGCTCATGCAACAACTGTAGCTTTATACCGAGAAAGATATAAGGTGTTTAGATGGATATATATACATAATCAATCATATATAGTATCTTTCAAGATGAGAATCAGTTTTAATTTGCTTTTGTGTGCCAATATAATTGTATATTAATCTAAATAACCTATGCAGAAATCTCAAGGGGGTAAGATAGGAACGACTTTGATTGGAAGATGGTTTGTCCCATTAAACGAAACTAGCGAACAAGATAAGGCTGCTGCAAAACGGGCATTCGATTTCATCGTCGGATGGTATATATGTTCAATTTATTGATTCTCACATCACCTATATATGTAGAAAATTTTGGTCATAACAAACGTACTTTCAATATTTTATTTATGCATATGTTTTGTAAATGTATAAAGGTTTTTGGATCCATTGGTGTACGGAGACTATCCAAAGATAATGAAAGAGATGGTTGGAGATAGATTGCCAAAATTCAAACCTGGAGAATCAGCTTTAGTTAAAGGATCACTTGATTTTCTAGGGTTGAACTATTATGTTACACATTATACGGCCGATGCATCTATTTCGTACCTAGTGTCGCAACTGATCCATGCGTTACTCTTGGATGTATGTTAATTGTTCTTCTTCTTTTATATATAAATATATTAGATTTTAATTAGCCAATCTCAAATTTTCTATAATTGGTTTCAGATTATCGCAATGGAGTTACTATTGGCGTTGTGGTTAGAATCGACTTCAATTTGGAATATTCTCATAATTTTTTTTCATTAGAAATTGGTTTAACCCTTGTCCTCTTCTTCTTCTATAGGCTCCCAGCTTTTTGTATTATCCTCCAGGATTCCGTATGATTCTAAATCACATCAAAGTTAACTACGGAAACCCACTTACCTATATTACCGAAAACGGTATGTACATATCATTTTTTTGTATTGCATTGAAATATGTTTATCCAAATAAAAAATCTAAATATGTGTTTATTATCAAATCTTTTGGTTTCAGGAGTTGCTGATCCTGGAAACGGAAACTTACCGATTAAAGAAGCTCTTGCCGACAAAGGAAGAATTCAAAATCACTGCAGCCATCTTTCGTGCCTCAAATGCGCCATCGAGTGAGTTATACGGTTCATATATTACTTTATATCCTTCTTCTTTTGAGAATTACTAATGTTAATAAATTACATCAACATTATCTTATAAATATTATAGGAACGGATCCAACGTAGCAGGATATTTTGCATGGTCTTTGATGGACAACTACGAATTCGGAAATGGTTACACTCTCCGGTTTGGTATGAATTGGGTCAACTTCACTAATCCTATTGATCGAAGACAAAAGGATTCTGGCAAATGGTTCTCTAAATTCATCACAAAATAAGGGTCTCCGATAAATATAAATCAGTTACATGTAACCAACCTCAAAATCTAATAATACTATTGCATTATATTTTAATAAAATACTAAAGCTTATATGTCGTGTATGTTGTTAATACGCGTTGTAATAATCGGACCTTAATTCTAGGTCAAATCATAAATAAATCTTAATTTCTATGAAGCTTGCTTTGCCATTGTTCTTGGTTCTATACTCATCTTGGGAAGTATAACTTTCTCTTTTATTTTTCTTTCGTCTAGAAGTATAACTTTTCTAAAATCTATAACATGATGTTATATGAAATACAAAAGCAAAGCCAAATTCTTATTCTTACATAAAAGTGTAAAACTAGTAAAGTTTTTTATTAGAGCCGAAGAGTTGACAAAAAAATTACAGATATTTTATCTTTGAGAGTTAAATACAACAAAGAATGAGATATAGTTAGTTGTCCTATATAAATTACATGACTCGAAAAATGCCAAATCACATCCACAAAAGGATCAATCAAAATAA